CAAATTTCTTCAAAAAACGAGAGAAGGAGAGAATCATGAATCGGAACACAAAAATATACGGCGATTGAAAGAACAAAACCTAATTTGGCTTATGATTGTTGAAGAAGAGAAATTGAATTTGATATCCCTAGCTTGATACCATGTTGAGAGAATGAAAGAGAGATAAACAAATCTGGAAAATGTTTGTTACTGTTATGTTACCATTGTAACAGAAACAAAACAATATATATACATGCAACTGAAGGCTATGCTCCTCAGTTGCTCAAGTCCAGTTAAGCTAAAATGCACCCTAACTACATCTCGCATTTATACTATATACAATATCAAATACATTACAAAATACATTCTCAATAAACTTCTACCAACTTGAAGGCCTCTTCGGTATCCTTTTGTCTAGAAATTATTTCATAGGTGCATTCATGATCAAAGTTAGTGAGATCAAAATTTTTTAACAGCATCTGGGATGTTTTGAACAAAAAACCAGCTTCATGAAGATACCTAACCTCATCATGTTTAGGACTGTCCTCGATGGAAGATATATCTTCAAATTGGATGGAAGGTTTTTTCACAGAAGGTTGTTCAGACACCGGATTGAAAGTCTCGGATCTTGCTGACCTTAAAGTGCAATCCTTTCTACATACTTGATAATTCCTGAAATATAGATTGGAATGGTCATAAATGTGATGGCATCCTTGCTCTATAACCTGAACAAGACATGAAAGGCCACATTAACATAGGTTACTAGCTCAAAAAGGCTACTTAACCATAATCTGTTGAGTTCATCCATTGAAAAAGTAGTAATAGTTTCAGGGCCACCAAGGTGAACAAGAAGGATTGAAGCCCAAAATATTGGAATCAAGTTTGGATTTGCAGTGTTGGCTTTACTACGAGCAAGGACACCCAAAGAAAAAGTTGCTACCCAGTCTGCTGACAAGTATGCTAACCAAAGAAGAGGCCCAAGCCAGACTACGACAATATGCTTCCGTAGATTTCCAAAAATGGCGAGGAAATTTTGCAGAGAGAGACTAAGTAACATCAATGTGCCAAGCTGCCATTCATCCCACAGTTCTTTAACATCTTGAGACAAATGGTCTAAATTTATCTTTGATGATGACGAGGTCCTAACAGACACAGTTTTCAAAAATAAATCCACCTAAATCAGCATAATTCCATACAATTTGAAAATGCACTTGAGAATATTAAAAACAACATACAAATTGACCATTTGTTTTTCTTTTTCTTGTTCCTATTGTTGTGCAATAGTCATTAGTCTGTTCAATTGTTCGAGAGTTATTCAATTTAAATGTTTGCTCTCAAATTTTAAAAGATTATGCAACTTGATTTAATAATTTTATTATGAAATGATCGAATTAAATAAAAGAGAAAAGATGAAAAATTCCTAATATATTCTCCAATAAAGGCCTTATAAGATGAACTTTTAATTGATTTAGGTAAAAACTTAATTACAATTGGCATCACCATCTGACCATGATCACCACCAAGACATCACCTTACTATTAATCTTTTATTTCCATATTTGCCTATAAAGGACTCAATTAAAAAGCTATAAAAGAGTAGATAAAATCGAATCCAATTCATTTATTATTATTTTTTTCTTAAACAACTTAATGGATCAAGAGATGGGTTAACTTGGTATTTGAATCTAAAACTTAGCATAAAATTTATGCTATACATTTTAATTTAAAATTTATTAAAAAAATTTCAGTTGGTTTAAAAAAAAACTAACTAAAAAATGTATTGTGAGAAATATAGAGTCAATGCTTTAGTTTTTTTTTTTTTTTAAATAAAAAACATTCCATTAATTTCTCTCTTCGTTTTTCATATAATATATGAATAAAAAAAAATACACAAGTTTTTGCACAATTGAATATTGAAATATTTTATAAATATTACAATCAATAACTAGTTTTTTTCATCGAAAGTTCAAAAGGAAAAAAAAATCACATTAGGTAAAGTGGGCTAATTTGTTATGGAGGAGGAAGGAATAATAAAACTTTATATAGGGAATACATGAATGAAATCATACTTATATATTAACACACTCGCAAGTTGAGGTCAAAATGTTACTAAATTGAGAAGTGTTTAGAGTCCTCGGATTTAGAAAATGTGTTTTATTTAAAGATTGATATATATATATATATATATATATATATATATATATACACACACTAAACATAACGAATAGAATAAATTTTTTACTCTCATCATACTTTTTAAAACTTTATGAAAGGTGTAAGTATAGTATATATTAAAGGTTTATTGCGAAAGAAAAATATAATAGAATAAATTACTTTCTCTATTCACAAACTAAAACTTTATGGAAAGATTATGATGTGGACAAAAAAATAAAATGAACAAATTAAGTTTCATTAGGAATGTCAAAACCCATTTTATGATAAAGTTAATATAAAACTACTCCAAGTTTTTACTAGATAGTTTTTCAAAATGATATCAAAGTCTTTTTGACTAAGTAGTTAGGAGCTCAAATTCTACGATCTTATTTTTACAATTAAAATTTTTAATTTGTTTGTAACTAAATGATATTCTTATATAAAAATGAAGAGATATATTTTTTTTTATCAAATAACAAATTCAACGCAAAAGATTAAGTGCTACTACGTACATTGTGCTAAAAATTAATTTAATTATAAATAATGAGGATGATATGATTCAAACTCATAATTATTTAATAATAAAACTCTCATATTATATCAAATAATCATCATAACACAAAATCTTAAACTATTGGATGACACCCAACGAATGGTTTTTATTAATTCCGAGGCATCCCTTCATTTGCAATCCATCTATTGGAGTTTTAGAATTTTTGTTGCACTATTGAACTTGTTTTAATCTTTGCTATTATATTGAATTTGATAATTGAGTTAGGGTTTCATGAAACAAAAAGAAAAAAAAATTATTGTGGATGGCTCATTCCAAATATGTTCTATTGCTTTATTTTCTTATATTCATTTGATATGAGATAGTTTACCTAGCACTTTTGTCAATTCAACTCTAATAAAATTGGATCAAACTAAAAAGAAAAGTTTTTTACTTTAATTCCAACAACAATCATATTCCAAAGCATACCTTAAAAAATTACATTAATCCCCTATAGTATTAAGAAATTATAAAAACCATTCAAAAATTGTAAAGATACTTCACAAACCTCTTTTTATATCTAAAATACCATTAATATTTTTAAAATCACCGTACTATTAGGCGGTGATTTTAAACATTTTGAGTGAAAAAAAAAGAAAGAAAAGAAAACATTTTAATGATTTTTATAATTTAATGATACATTAGGAAGTTATTATAATTTTTTGTTTTTTTTTATGCGTTCGTTAATCTTCTAGATTGTCTAAATGAGATGAAACGACATAAGTAGAATCGGTCCAAAAGTTAGGATTTAGTAAAATTAGATAGGCTCAGTTCTCTTTCCACAATATAATAAATATGAGTTGGGTCGAAACTTTTTTGGGCCCATTAGCTTCCAAAGTCAAACTATATTAGTTGTCTTTTTAGGGGTCCAAAATGAAACTACGACCAGAAAAAAAGGATAAAAACATTAAAGACCTTTGTGATGAAGAGTTATCCTCCATAACTTTTTTTCTTTTTTTTCTTTTTCTTTTTAACCAAACAAAAATGAAACTGGGTGAAAACATGCAAGAATAATTTTTCACCTCTCCCCACCTCTCCTATCAGACATATTCTAAAGACAAAATTCTTTCAACATGAAATTTCAAATTCTAATCATGCTATTATTAATTTTTCATAAAGTAATACATTCACCATTACTTGTCATTTTTTTTTTTAATAAAAGAAAAAAAGATTTGATATTGAAAACATTTTGGTCATGTAACAAACCAAATTTTTACAGCTGGCATATATCTTTTACTTGATTTTGAAAAAAGACCATTACAATCAATAACTTTTTTTTTTTTTTCGGGTATTTAGATCTTGTACTTTTTGAATTTTTTTTATTGAGATTTTTTATTTTTATTTTTTTGTTTCATTGAAACCTTTTATTTTTAAGATTTTTAGTTTCGGACTTTTCGTTATAATGCCAACAATTAGTAATCAACGGTGACATTATACAGTAAACAAAATTGAAGAGTAAAGTTGGCTTATTGATTGCTAATTGGTGATGTTATAATTGAAGGTTTAAAAATAAAAAAATTTAAAAAATAAAAGTAGCTTATCGATCACTAGGTAGTAGCATTATAATGAAGATTTTGGAGGAATTAAAGGTTGTCAGTTACTTTATTCATGGCAATTGTTGAAATTGCAAAAAATTAAGGAGTCGTAATCAATGATTAGCAAATGTACAGTCTTACATTTCCCAATTCCCATTTGTTCTCGTCTAACCAGTGATCCTCTGTCTCCAATGAATTCAATGGGCTGGCGAGCATACAACTCTCTGCTAGCACCGACAGTGCCATTTGATTGCTACCACTAAAATTTTGAAGTAAATAATTGGAAACACCCAAACCTTCCTCAAATATATATATGTTCTAAGAATAATTTTATTATTTAATACATGAATATTTATTTAAGAAATTAATTAAGTGGGAATAAATTATTTAATACTTAATTAGTAAGTTATAATATCAATTGTGGTGGCTGTGATACTCTAAGGGTGAAATTATAAGATTTTAGGGGTTTAATTGCTACAATTAAACAATTGGATGCTTAATTAAAATAATTATAAAATTCAAATGACCACTACAAATTAGAAAAAAGCCTAGATAAAGGCTGGATTGCAGAAAATTGAAAGTCTAGGGACTGAAATTGAAGGATCTGATTGGAATGATTAAAGAAGTTTAGGGGTCATTACACACACAAACCAAAATATCAAAAGTTAATAATATTTATTCAAAGGAAAAAAAAAAAAAAAAAAGTAGCCACACATGCATACTGAAACCAAATTACAAACTGATTAAAATAAAAACTCCGAAATTAAGCTTATATAGGCATCATCAATTGGTTAAGCATTGCTCACTCAGACCAAGATGAGCCATGAGAAGGCACACATGAGTGACTAACTCTCCACCTCGTGTAAGTGATTGAGCATGCTCTTTCCATCCACAATGACTGGCAGCATAAGTTAACATTTCTACCCAAACCTTGCTTATCATCTTCCACTTTCGTTCATTTTCCCAACCATCCCGCGTCTCAAGTGACTGCAATTCCCTGGCCAGCTTGGAACCATCGAACAGCCCCGACACTTGACTCCTTCCTTGCTCCAAAGTCTCAATAAATCGATCCAAATCACTTCCACCAGAGCTGATGCTTTCTAAATCCGTAGAGAAATTGGATACATCATGGCAGGTTTGCTTGTACCTTTCCTTACCAATCCCTTTAGGTAGCAAAAATGGGCAATCACACAGAAGATACACCATGTAATTAGATAAAGAGATGCTCATTTTGTGGCTTAGACGAACATTATTGGCATCACCACCATTTTTTGGACATCATAACGGTAACAAATATCAGTAGCAATGTGCCAAATAAGGAGGCTCTCATTAAAATCAGAACATTTCACACTCCAACCAAACTTTTCAAGGCATCTCTCTCCTCCAATCACCTGATCACCCCTCTCTGATAATATCTCATGTAAATCATTCTTCCCAGGATCATAAGCACGCATACGATAACTATATCTTGAACGTTTATCTTTAAGTTGTTCGAAGATCAATTCTTTCAATTCAGGATTCACAACCTCCCAACTCTGAATGCTGTCTTTTCCAAGCAACTTCTTAATGGAAATGTCGAACCATTTGTTTTCAGTTAATTGAGCCCTCAGCAGGTTGTGTTGTGCCATTGATCCGGTCCACCTTTTGTTATTGTGAAGAAATGACCGGAACCATGAAGAACAAATCGTTCGATACACCAAATTGAACAATGGCTTCTTTTGACCGCTAAGCCAAAGCATAGCCCAGTCGGAGAAAAGAAGAAAAACAGCTCCATAAATCTCAATAATGATGGCTCCGACCAACAACAAGTATGATACAGTTATTTCGGTTGTTAAATAGCCATGGTTGTTTTTGGGCATACCTTGTGAGAAGGCAAGTAATGCAGAAACAAAACATAACAAGCTGACAGTACGAAGAATGATGTGTGACAAACGAATCCTCGACACCTTTGTAAAAAGCACATCATACATGAATCCCATCTCAACTTCAATTATGTGGAAGGCTTCTATGGCAGTCTTGTTTCGTAGGATAAGATAACTAGCCAAATGATTAGAATCAGAAAGCACGAGATCCGCATATAGTACCCCGAACATTTGAAAGAACAAATTAGCCACATGCAGAAATTTAGCCTCCGATATTATGTCACTCAAGCCTAGTTTTTGAATCAGTTGTTCATCAGTCATTTCGAAGAACTCAGAGTTGGAAAATCGGTTAAATTGGGAACGAAGTTCATTCATCTCTTTATATTTGGACCTCATGAGCTTCTCCGAGCTTGCTGACCTAAGAACCCAATTCCTTTCTCCATATTTAATCATTCCAGCAAGAAAGATGGGAATGGCTACAAATAACAGTGGATCCTTACTCCACCATGACCTCAAAAAGGCATAAAAAGCCACAACAACTTGGCTTCCTAGCTCCAACAGATGCCTTAACCACAATTCATTGTCTTCCACTGAAAATGCAGTGATAGTGTCAGGGCCACCGAGGTGCACAAGGAGGACTGGTGCCCAAAATGCAGGGATCAATCCTGGATTTGAATTGGTACAATTTGTTTCTGAATCTCCAAGCCTTTGAGCCAGGATACCCAATGAAAAAGTTGCCACCCAATCTGCTGACAAATATGCTAACCAAACAAGAATTCCGAGCAAGAATCCAGCCGTGTACTTTCGTCTACTCGCAAAGAGTATAAGAAAAACTTGCAGAAAGAGACTGAGCAAAATCACCGTGCGAAGCTCCCATCCATTCCACAGTTTTTGAACTGTGTGAGACACATCATGAATGCCCATGCTTGATTTCCTTCAATTAGACGAGGCTCTAACAACCAAAGTAAGCAGGAAAAGAGAGAGAGAGAGAGAAACATTTTGAGCACAACTTCAGACCAGCAAATATGAACATGAACAAAAGAAACATCAAAGAAAATGCTAGTAACCGCATAACAATTTACATAGTGATTATAATTCTAGTAACCAGCCCGCATTAATTTAAAACATGAATCACACACAAATTTTCTGCCTAAGCTCCCTTAATTATGCTCAACAAATCAAATTATCAGGAATAATTAAAAAAGTGTGCCACTTATATATTATATAGCCATTTTTTTCCTCTGAAAAGTATAAATGTAAAACGAAAGAAATGGACCATAGACACATTCATTCACATCACAATGTACCTGAATAGTAATGCTTGAGCAACCAGCTAGCAACCTGAGTTTTGCTCAAATTCAAAATCCTATAACTAAATAAAAATATATAAAAATATTAATGTTCGAGATTTATCACATCAATCCTAACTATTTAGTTCAAAATTAATGGTCTAGATTTATCTAACACGATAGATTATGTTATCCCTAATTTAAAGAACAAACATATTAAAAACTTAAAAAAAAAAAAAATCTATATGGTCTAGATTTATTAATATTATATCTAACATAACATGTTAGATAAATCTTAATTAAACCACACCCCCCACCCCCTCTCAAAAAAAAAAAAAAAATTTAAAAAAGACCTGCATACTTGAAGTTCTTAGAAAAATATTAATTCGTAATCATCTCATTTTTCTATATACATTTCATGCAAAATTCTAAATTACATACAATAGCCATTTTTAAATCATTTTTAACCTATATAGACGCATTCTTTAACATCACAACGTACCTGAACAGTAATGCTTGAGGATCCAGCGAGCAACCTGAATCTTGCTTCAATTCCTGTGCCACCAAATTGTGCTTTGTTCATATACAGTGATGGTGTAACATTATGAATTGTATGTATATTTGGCCACTGAAATCGTAGGTTGTTTTGATAAGAAAAATGGAAAACTCATTTTACAAATTGTAGACATATGCACCTCAGGACTATAAATTCTTAAAACTGAAGTCAAAGTTTATTCGCTCTATGTAATATGTAGTAGGTTGTCTAAGTAGTCCAAGTTTGCAGCTTTTCGTCATGTTTCTCTTGCATTGATTGGTTAAGCTTTTTAGCCCTTGTTTGTGGCTTTACATGCCTTTTGTCACACACAGAGATAGAGAATATCACATTTAAAAAAAAAAAAAACTACACAATAAAGAGGATAAATTTTGCTATAGTTTGAACCAATACAGTTTTGAAGAACTCTTGAATCCTCTGGGGTAGCACAAAATTTGGCCTTCTAGAAGAATAGGGTTAAGTACAAATTTATAGAGCACATATCTTAGTCTTAATGGGTAGAGACTTAGTAACAATCTAATCGTACAAAGTTTTCAATGTTAGCCAAAAAAACAATTCTAAGGCCATATCTATATACCATTACCAATTCTTGACGTCGGTGGCTGCTGTGGTGACTGGAGCGCAGCTGTGTGGGCTGGAACGGCAGTTGGAGTCGCTGGAGCGCGGCTGAAATGGCTGGCTGATGCTGGAGTAGAGAGGAAGAGGAAGGGTCGGTAGAAATCTAAGTTTAAGTCAATAATGACTATATCTATATAGCATTACCAATTATTGATCTCTCTCTTTTTCTTTTTTTCTTTTTTTTAAAAAAGGTAGCCACACATCCAAAAGGATCCCAAATTAAAAAATATTGACTTAAACATTGACTTGTCACCCCAATCGAAGAAGAAGACTTCTCATTGATTTGAGATCCAAATTCAAAATCGAAGTCCCAACAACTATTAGCATAACTTGGCAACATTCTATTGGTTAAAAGAGAAAGAACACTATTTATGACCTTGAAGATGACCACAATGTCATTTTTTATTGTCAGTCAAAATTAAAAATTTAACAGACTACCTACCAATATTGCTTGGAGTTCTATTTTATTAATGAGAATAAAATTAAATGCTTGAAAAGAATCAATCGCAAAAAATCATTATATTTTACCTCTTCTCTTCCTGCTTCTTCCAGCCGTCTCGATCACCATCGTTTATCCTGATAAGGCTTTCCACATACATTTCAGAACCAAAAGAACTCGGTCCACCATGAATCTTTACAGCCTTAGCATGATTGTTTTCCCAATCATACCACATAAGCTTCTCATCATTCACTTCCAACAACAGCTTATCACCATCCTTAGAATAAACCAGAGGTCTCAAAAACATAAAAGTACACATCCATTTAATCCCTTGAACCGAACAAATCTTAGACCAAGATTCCTTCACACCATACTCTTTCATAACCCACACATCAACGCAAACATGATCATAATTACACATTACACACAAATTCCCTTTTAAAACCCCAACATGAACCTGAAAGTTCATACCTTTGTTTTCATAATCCGGTTGCGACAATTCGAAAAATTTATCATCCCTAACATCAAAACCAAGAACACAATCTCTAATACCAAGTCGACGCCTCTGAGGGGCAATCCAATGCACAGCGTGACCAGCATACCCTCTCCTGTGCAAAATATGAAAACAGGGCTTGCTTAATAACCTAAGCCGGGTCGGCAAACCCTCAATTTTCTTCCACTTATCATTCTTTAAAATATAAACCTTAACTTCATACTCACAACCAAACCCACCAGCACCATTACCTCCGCCGCCGCCGCCATCTTCTCTAACAAACTGAGCCATTCTCACCCCTTTGTAATCATCACAAACAGCATCATAACCAAACCCATAGTTATCAAATCCCGCCGCGGCGGCTCAATCTCTGGCACATAGCATTTCTTCCACTCCCTTGTCGACAAATTATACACCGCAATATTTCTCTCCGAATGCCTCAAAAACACCAACCCATTAACCGAACCGATAACCTCCGTTCCACCACCGGCATAAAGCGGATGGTGTTTCACCTCCACCGCAGCAGAAAGATTATCGAAATCAACGTTGAAAACATCCCATTCTTTGAGGATGATGCTGTGATTAGATTTGGTAGTGATTGAATGGTTTAGATGCAGATTGATGAAATCTGGGCCGTCGATTAAGGAGCAAATTGGTTTGGATAGAGATCTAAATCGGAGGACGGATTTCACCGGAAGTTGAAGCAAAATGTCTGTTATGAATGGTACGGTAAACATTTTTGGAGTAATTATGAATATTTTAATTTATGGTTTATAAAACTTATGATAATTCGAAAACAATTATCGGTGGTTTAATACTTATTTTTGAATTTAATTGGGGGAAAAAAGATAGAGGAAAAATTAAGAAAATTTTTTTTATGACAAAGTACAAGGGCTTTTTGTTGGGTTGGGCGATGGGACCTTAGAATTTATAGTTGATTATATATTAATCCATTTCGTTTTGAAAAACCGAATTAATTAGTTTTTTTTATTTTAAAACACAATCATTTATTTTTTTAAAAAAAATATTTTGATTTTGTTTTAAGAAATAAAAAAATTATGAAAAAAATTGATAAAAAGAGATGCATTTTATAAAATAGAAAAAATACTAGATTAATCTTGATAATAATGTTTAAAAAGATTAAATAATTAAGTTTTGAAGCTAAAATGATTAATTAATTGGTTTCTAGAAAAATAAGGGACTAATTCATAATTTAATCATTTTGTAGCAACGATTGGTAATTACTTTTGAATCATCTTCAATTTTTTATTAATAAATTAAAAATTAAATGATAATAATTATTTCATATGACAGAATCAAATATAAATAAAAAAATAAAAATTGACGGATCAGGGGAATTGATATTGATGGTAAGGCCCATAGTTAAGAGATTGGAAGTAGTAAAATTGTGTCTGTGCGATGGAGAGAATTGAAAAACATGGCTTAATTAAGTCAACTTGAGAAGGGAGGTTAGGAGCATAATCTTTGTCATAATCAAAATTTCAGAATTTTTTATTTTTAATTGGTTATTTGTTTTCTTTCATTTTAAGTTTTTTTTTTTTATTTTCTTATCTTAATTAGTGTTATTATTTTTATTTATTCTATTTTTCTTAATAATCTGCAAAATGAAAAAAAAATACAAAAACAATGTGAATTTAATATTTAGGGATGCAATTGTATTAAATTCAAAATCATTATAGTAATTGAGGATACAATCGAATCATTTAAAAATTCAAGAACCAAATTATATTGGACAAGGACCAAATTGACCTAATAACAATTTACGGTGATCGCAATGCAAAAACAAAAAAAATTACAAAAAAAAAAAAATACAAAGTTTGCAGATGAGTGGGCGACTAGCTGCCCACTCCTGCCTAGAACTAATTCACGGGATTATTATTATTATTTTTTCTCCTCGCTTCATGGAACCGATTTTGGTTTCGGTTGCAGGAACCAATTTCTGTTCTCAATTTTAGCCTTGAATTTCAATCCCGGTAGCAATTAATTCCCTTAACCTGCAATTGCCATTTCTCCCCTCTATGGTCAACAATTTCGGCACCTCCCTCTACTCGCTCGCCGACCATTCTACTACCGCAAATCTCAGCAATCTCCAGTGCAATCCCCCAATTCCTGCAGACCTCATCATGCTGCAACTTGCAGCAACTACACGACCTTCCCCCGTTACCAGCCACGACACAACCATCTTCTACAACCCAAATAGCCACACTCACCCACTCCATATCTTGCAACAAAATCCCTCACCATCATGGTGGGGAACCAACCAAAACAGAAGACATTCACATATATATATACACACAGACAGCAGAGATAAGACAAAAAAAAGGAGGGGGGATTCTTTTTAGTCCGATAATTAGAGTAGGCAGTGAGTCCAAAAAGGAGGGAAGCCCGCAATTAGGAAAAAGTTAGCAAAAAAAAAAAAAAAGGGAAATCGACGGTAAAGAAAAAAAAAAGAGAAAATCCAAAAACAAAAAAAAGAAATTAAATTTACTCGAATTGAAGGCGAGTCCTCATCTATTTTCACCAATTCTCTTAAGTAATCCCTCTAATTTCTCTTTAATTTCATTTTTTTTTACACAATTTAAGTTTGATTTAAAATTTGGGAATTTTTTGAAATTATAAAAAATTGAAGAATAGATTTGGGAGTTTTGATAAAATTGAGTCCTAAAGGGTGTGAATTGACTTGATTTCAAGTCAACTAAGTCTAATTGAAAGAAAATTAAAGAAACCGAAAACCTAGGGTTTCGGCCAAAATTGGAGAAGAACATTGAGAAATTGATTTGGGGGGTTTTTTTTTATTGAGCAAGGAAAAGAAGGAAAGAAAGGGAAAAAGAAGGAAACAAAAGGGGAAATCAAGCGACCATGGACGAACCTCCACTGGTTTGTCCATGGCAACAGCTAGCGTTTTTATATATATAAAAAAAGAGAGAACGGGAAAGAAGGAAGAAGAAGAAGAAAAAAAAAAAGAGGAAAGAGAGGAAGAAAAAAACGAAAAAGGGTAGAGAAAGAGGGACGAACCTCCATTGGTTCGTCTATGGAGGCTGGAGCCAGCGAGAGAAGAAAAAGAAAGAAAAAAGGAAAGAGGGAGAGACGGGATGGAACTTTTTTTTTTTTTTTGTGTTTTGATCTGAAATGTAGGAAGAAAAAAAGAGGGAAATGTTTGTGGGTTTGGTTTGGTTTTTTTTTTTGGGAAGCCCAACCCATTTTCGTACTGGTCGGATCGAATCAATCCAAATTGGATTTTTTTTTCTTTGAGGTCGGATTGATTTCAGCCTGAACCGAAAACAAAAAATAAAAAAATAAAAAAATATGTGTAATAAATTTTACATTTTAATTTTATGCATGTTATTTTTTTTTATGTTAAATGGTCTTTATTTATTTTTGTTGTAAATTTAATTTTAGGTGTATTTATGCATGTTAGTTAGAATTTGTCATTTTAATATTTTGTAACTCGTTTGAATTTACCCTTGAATTTATTTTATGTCTACCTATTATTAATTTAAATTTTAGTATTTGAATTTTTTTATTTAATTCGTGTAGCTTTAATTTATTTGTTTAGAATTAGGCTTAGTAAGTAATAAATAGAAGACCGTTAAGTCTCGCTAAATTTTGTTAGGGACTAATGACAATCTTTCACGTAAAAAAAATAAAAAATAATACTTATGCATGTTAGCTAGAATTTGTCATTTTAATATTTTATAATTGTTTGAATTTACCCTTGAATTTATTTTATGCATACCTATTATTAATTTAAATTTCAGTATTTGAATTTTTTATTTAATTCGTGTAGCTTTAATTTATTTGTTTAGAATTAGGCTCGGTAAGTAATAAGTAGAAGATCGTCAAGTCTCCTAAATTTTTTTAGGGATCGATGACAATCTTTCACGTAAAAAAAAAAAGAAAAGAAAAATAAAAAATAGTATTTATGCTTGTTAGTTAGAATTTTTCATTTTAATATTTTGTAATTGTTTGAATTTACCCTTGAATTTATTTTATGCATACCTATTATTAACTGAAATTTTAATATTTGAATTTTTTTTAATTCGTGTAGCTTTAATTTATTTGTTTAGAATAAGGCTCCAGTAAGTAATAAGTAGAAGATCGTCAAGTCTCCTAAATTTTTTTGGGACCGATGACAATCTTTCACTTAAAAATAACAATAATAATAAAATAAAAAATAAAAAATAGTATTTATGCAAGAAAAAAATAAAAACATAAAAAAATAAAAAATAAATAAAGAAAAGTAACAAAAAAAAATTATAAAACTTTTTAACAAAGTCTCCTATCCGATAGGGATTGTTGTTAGCCAAAATTTTTTATTTTAATAAACAAATGTTCTTCGGCACACCGGTTGTGTCGAGACTAAAAATGGATATAATGTTTGAACCGACGTGTCTCCCGACGAAGGGGTCGGACGATCGTTTCAATACGATGTCACGCTCAAAAATAAAAAACTTAATTTGACTTGGAAAAAATTGGAGTCTCAAAAATTGAAAAAATAATGTGGCAAAAATGAAATACTTTAGGGGGTAATTTAGGGCTAAGCTAGACGTGGTACCTTTTTTAGGAAAGGACACTTTCGGGTGATTAATTATCTTCCCATAAGCGTAACCGACTCTTTACCATAGTAATCTCCGAACCAAGTACCAATTTTAGGTTTCTAGTTCCCTCAATACTAGGTGGCGACTCCAAACTCGCAAATAGTTTTGTAAAGAAAATAAAAATCTGAAACTAGTGATAAATTAGAGTTTTTTTTTTTTTGGAGTCCCATCCGACGTCGGGTAGTGACAATCTTCATTGCTGAAACGAGTTGAGCTTTATGGCCCACCTTTGCCTCGTTATAGTAGAACTAAATAATCTCGGAATGGTAGCCGTACTTGTAAAATCCGAGAAGGCCCATTTCATCGAAAAGAAAAATGTTTACCGGACCCATTTATGGACTATTGTCGATCCGTATTCTCGGTCAAGATTTTATTAGGCCCGATATTTCAAAAGTCTCGTTTTTGTGCTATGATTCTTGTTCAATTTTTTTCCTATTAAATGGCAATTCATAAGCATGAAATTTCTTAAATTTTCTCATTAGCTTAGCTAACGGATGGTATGAAAGAAGTAACAATTGAAGATTTTATCTTACTACATAAAAAAAAATTAATTATATATTAAAGCGATCATCGTCGTATATTAGAGCTAAACATTCAATTTCGATTTCGAGTTTAGTTTTTGATTAATTAAATAAGTTAAGTCTTTATCATTTTATTTTTCTCACCTCATATAGATCATAGAATTCAAAATTAATAATAAATTTGAGACGTAATCGTTTGTATTCCTTTACTATCTCAATCACTAGCCCTATATAAAGTGACAAATTAAGTAGAAACTAATTTATGGATCCTCTTGCCAAAAACAAATAAATTCTCTAGATTTGTTATCCAAAATAAAAATAAATAAAAATTTGTACCATTTAATGGTGATCATCGAGTGGAAGGCATGATTACACGTGACAATGCTCGAGAGGTACACTTTTTTGGGTAGTTGGAGGAAAACATTTGGACGTTACAAAATCATTTTACAATGGGCCCAAACTAGGAGTGACAATGTGGCTAGGCTGTGTTTTTGGAGTAATTATTAATATTTTAATTTATGGTTTATAAAAATTATGATAATTTGAAAATAATTATCGATGGTTTAATAGTTATTTTTTAATTTAATCGGAGAAGAAAATTACAGATTACAATAAGAAAAAGATCCGATTACTACCGGGGTTTTTTGTTGGGTTGGATGATGGGACCTTAGAATTGAAGTAAATTATAAATTAGTACATCTCGTTTTGATAAATGAATGAATTAGTTTTTCTTGTTTTAAAACCAAATCTTTTAGTTTTTTTTATTTTTAATTTATTTTGATTTTTATTTTAAGAAATAGAAATAAAAAAATAAGTAAAAGTTAGGAATTGTATTTAACAATCCGAGTGCAATATCTAAAGCTTGAAACTTAGCTCTTTTTTGCTCAACCATAGAGAAACCAAATTGTGTTTTGTTCACATATAGTGATGGTGTAACATTATGAATTGTATGTATATTTTGGCAATGAAATCGTAGGTTGTTTTGATAAGAAAAATGGAATATAACTTTACTCTCATCATAAGTTAAAACTTAGGTAAATTGTAGAGATATGCACCTCGGGACTATAAATTCTTACAACTGAAGTCAAAGTTTATTTGCTTTATATAGTATGTAGGTTGTCTAAATAGTCCAAGTTTGTAACTTTTCGTCATGTTTCTCTCGTATTGATTGGTTAAGCTTTATCCTTTGTTTTTGGCTTTATGCCTTTTGTCACGCGCAAAGATAGAGAATATAACATGAAAAAATCACACAATTAAGTGGATAAATTTTACTATAGTTTAAAGCAATACAGACTTTGGAGAACTCTCAAACCAAACTCAAATACATGTATGGGATGAGAGAGTAAATTATTCTGAAAGAACAACATTTCACTTGTAAGTTCAATATCAAATATTTGTGCTTAGTTGTGGTATTATTTTGAGCAATTGTGCCAAATTGATTAAAGTATCTATATACCATTACCAATTCATGACACAACTTTTCTAGAACAAGTGGTGTTGATGTTGGTGGTTGTTGTGGTGATTAGAGCTCGACTACGAACGCGATTGAAGCGAGATAAAATGGGTGACGAGCCGCCGAATGTGACGAAAAAGGTTGGCGGCAGCTATTAACAATGGGGTTTTGGTGCATGTTAGCTAGCGAGCGCAAACTTGAGGAAGATCGATGACAAGAGGACGATGTTAGGTGCTAGCGTGACTTTGGGGTTCGGGGATGACTATGGAAGAGGACGACTGTTGGAGTAGAGAGGAAGAGTCGATAGAAATCTAAGCCTTTTTTTTTTTTTTTTACCTTTATGGAGTGTGTTATTGTTCTATTTTCTCAAAATAAAATAAAATAAAAACATAAACATAAACAAAAAAGGAATGTTCTTAAACTTGATACTCACATAATTTTCATAAATAGAGTTTTCTAGATGTGTGTGTGAGTACGTAATTAGCCTCTTTTTTTTGAAAACAAATAAGATATAAAACATTCCTTATGTAAACACGAAATTTGGATTGGGATAATTTCATAGAGTTTTCGAACACTTAGAAAAATGACTATCGTGAAGACTCATTTTCTAAGAAAATAACTTCCTTAATTCTACTAATAAAAATGATTTCTAATATTTTCAAGTTCTTAGAAAATTTAATTTGAACAAGTTAAACACAATTACTTTCAAAATTATATTTTAGAATCAAACAAAATTTAAATTTGCACGTCCTATACATTATTATAAAGTCAAGTTAGATAACATATTTCACATTGAATAGTTAACACAAGAGATGAGTGATATATAAAGTTGACCCACCATAAGTTTTAAGTCTTTTGGATGGAATTTAATCTCAACTATTTAACTTTATATAGTATCGAGCTTTAAATAGATCTAATAGCCCAAAGAAAGACCTCGGAACCCAAGTCACTTGACAAATTTCAAAAAATGAGTTGTAAGTGAAGGAGAGTATTAGAGAACATATCTCACATTGAATAGTTAAACAAAAGATGATTAATATATAAAGTTGAGAAGAGATCACCCATCATAAGGTTTAAGTTTTTTAGATGAAACCCAGTCTCAACTATCTAACTTTATAAAGACACGACAACAACAAACGAGATAGTAATTGATTCTACAACAAAAACGAGATAGAGTTGTTACTTGTTTATTATTCCTAACCTCTTAAGTGACAATTCTTATTGGTATTATCTACTCAAAATAATAGATATACCCTCATGTAAATCACTCAATTATATATATACAATATCTTTACAACAACACTTACACTTGGTAAGTAATTATTCAAACATTATAGTGTTACAATTTGGTATCAAAGCTTCAAAAAGAAGCCTAACCACTCAGTAAAGATCTTAGAGTCTAAGCCACTTGACATATTTCAAAAGATAGATTGTAAGTGAGAGAGAATGTTTTACATTGAATAGTTAAATAAAAATGATCAATATATAAATTTAGAAGATGTTATCCATCATAAGGGTTAAATCTTTTGAATGGAATTCAATTTCAACTATTTAACTTTGTATGGTATCGCGAGTTCGAATCTCACCATTTTCATTTCTCTTTTAATTAATTAAGCATAATGTAATGTGAGCCTATGCAAGTTTCAAGTCGAAAGAACTTTCATTTGAGAAGGTATGTTAGAGAGTAATATAAACCATTTCTAAAGCCTCGCCTAATAATTTAAACTTTTTGGGTTGAGATGATTTTTTGTTAGCGACAAATTAAATCAAATGATTATAGGCTACTGAAAAAGAGAAAAAGGTAAGAATATATCACTTTTATCACAATTAAGCCAAAACTTTAAATGATTCGGCACACTTCAAAATTGTTATTACTAATTTTTACTTTTCTTCTGAATGTATGCATGTGAGTATGTAATTTTTTTGCACATTCATTTTTTGAAAACAAAAAAGAAATAAAACATTTCTTATGTAGACACAAAATTTGGATTAGGATCATCGTTAAATTTAAATCATTGAATTCAAATTGAATGGATATGATTTAGTACATGGTAAAAATAGTATAACTTAACTCATTATTTTATTTTATCTATTTATATATACATGTGTTATACCAAAATTTAATATGAGCTTCGACCCAATAAATTAGATAGATAAAACCAAATAAGTTTTTTAATGGGTTTTTCTTCTTAATGTCTTTTTTGATTGGCTTCACTTAACTCCATTGGTTTTTCTACAAAATAATAACAAGAACAATAACAACAATAATAAAATCAAACATAACTCAAATACTCAAAATGAAAATCAACATTATTTTATACTTAAAGAAGAAATAGAATATATTACCTGATTAAAATAAAAACTCATGAAATCAAGACACTGTTGAGGTTGGAGATAGAAGAAGAAAATAAAAATAGTAATGACTTAAAATTAAATGGACTTTCGTGGCATATATGGCATCATCAGTTGGTTAAGCATTGCTCACTCAGGCTAAGATGAGCCATGTTTGGGTAGGAATATTGACATATGTTGCCAATCATTGTGGATGGAAAGAGCATTGCTTATTTTCCCAACTATCCTTCGTCTCAAGACGCTGCAATGGCTGCGCAAGCATGGAACCACCATACAACACCGACACATCACTCACTTGTGTTTTAAATTTAAATCGAAATGATTCCCATTCAGCTCCTGAGATAAGTGTTTCTACTTCTGTAGAGAATTTGGAGACATCATTACAGTTTTGCTTATACCTTTCTTTACCAATCCCTTTAGGTAGCAAAAATGGGCAATCACACAGAAGATACACCATGTAATTAGATTAAGAGACGCTCATTTTGCAGTTGGGATGAACATTATTGGCATTACCATCCTTTTTTCGGACTTCATCATGGTAACAAATATCAGTAGCAATGTGCCACATAAGGAGGCTCTCATTAAAATCTGAACAGTTCACACTCCAACCAAAATTTTCAAGGCATCTCTCTCCTCCAATCACCTGATCACCCCTCTTTGATAATATCTCATGTAAATCATTCATGCTAGGGTCATGACTGCACATCCGGTAACTATATCTTGAACGTTTATCTTTGAGTTGTTGGAAGATCCATTCTTTCAAACCAGAACTCACAACCTCCCAACTCTGAATGTGGTTTTTTCCAAGCAACTTCTTAATGGAAATGTTGAACCATCGATCTTGTCCACCTTTTGTCATTGTGAAGAAATGATCATAGCCGTGAAGAACAAATTGTGAAGAAATTAGCAGCCTACCAGGCTGCCGCTACTATCTCCGTTAACTAGCCCACCAACTATATTTGTCCATATGGGAGATTAAGAATCGTTTTTGTTAGGTTTCAAACGGATGAACAAAACTAGAGTCAATAATGAACCTAGTACGGCATATGACTCCTCAATATTTTAATTTATTATTTATAAAAATTATGATAATTCGAAAGTAATTATCGATAGTTAATAATTATTTTTGAATTAAATTGGGGAAGAAAATTAGAGACAAAAATAAGAAAAAAATCTAATTACGACAATGGGTTTTTGTTGGTTTGGATGATGGGACCTTATAGTTGATGGTAAATTATAAATTAGTCGCTCTCGTTTTGAAAAATGAATTAATTAATCTTTTTTGTTTTAAAACACAAATTCATTTAATATTTTTTTTATTTTTATTTTTTTAAGAAATAAAAAATAATTAAAAGTTATGAAAAGATTGATAAAAAGAAGATACATTTTATAAAATAAAAAATATTAAATTAATCTTGATCAAAATTTGTTAAAAAAAATTAAATAATTAAGTTTGGAAATTATTAGGACTAATTAATTTGTTTCTCGAAAAAAGAGAGACTAATTTATAGTTTACTCATTTTGTAGCAACTATTGGTAATTACTTTTGAATTAACTTCAATTTTTTATTAAAAAATTTAAAAAATATATAAAAAATTAACTAATAATAATTATTTCATAGGACAAAAGCATATATAAATAAAGAAAAAAATTGACGGATTAGGTTGCAAAGGAAGAATCAATGTTGGTGGTAAGGCTGGCATATAAGAGATTGGAAGTAATAAAGCTGTGCCTGTGCGATGGAGAGAATTGAAAAACATGGCTTAATTAAAGCTCTTTTTGTTTGGTGGAAAACAACTTCCATAAGAAAATCAATTTCTAAAGAAGCTATTTTCTAGGAAATTGTTTTCCAAAAAATATTTTCTACTATTTGACAATTATATGAAAAAAACTACTGAAAAATATATCTCAATGTTCGTTTGATACGGAAAATTAAAATACAAAAACAATATGTGATTGTTACATCAACAAGTTTTGAAAAAACTTCAAAAAAATATATTCACAATTTCACAATATTAGATACATTTAGAAAAATTTAATAAATTTTCATAAATATTGACTCTAAAATTTTAATTCAAAAAATAAAATGTACTTTTTAACTATCATACCAATTCATCAAAATTACTTAGGACAAAATCAAGTCAATATTCGTATTTAATATATATATATAATCTAAGAAATCCTAGTATTATTATTTTGGTAACTCAATTAAGAATTCTTGTTTTCCTTTTTTTTGTTTTTTTTTTTTTTTTGGAAATTGAACTGATAATTTAGTCTAAAAAATAGTTTTATAAATTATTAGTTATAATTTGTAGATAATTATTTATTTGGTTTCATAAGAAAATCAATTCCAAAAGAAGCTATTTTCTAGGAAATTGTTTTTCCAAAAAAAAAATTTTCTCGTCGCTTGGCAATTACATAAAAAACTACTGAAAAATATATTCCAAGCATTTGTTTGATACAAAAAATTAAAATACAAAAACAAGTATGTGATTTTTACATCAATTAGTTTTGAGAAAACTTCAAAAAAGCATATTCAGAGTTTTACAATATAAGATACATTTAGAAAATTTTAATAAATTTTCATATATATTTGACTCTAAAATTTCAATTCAAAAAATAAAAAGTACTTTTTTAACCATCAAACTAATTCATCAAAATTACTTGGGAAAAAATCAATTCAATATTCACATTTAATAAAAAAAATATATATATATATAAGTAATCCTAGCATTATTATTTCGGTAACTCAATTAAGAATTCTTTTTTTTTTTTTTTTGGAAAATTGAACTCATAATTTAGTCTATTTTTTTATATAAATTATTATTTATCATTTATAAATAATTATTTATTTGATTTCAAAAGATTAATGTTGGAATAATTTGTAACCAATTATTCACTACAATTGCTAACAAAATTTTACAACTGATAAAAATTATAAATTATTGATTTAGTTACAAATGAATAGTGTTGAAAAAATAATGTATTTATTGATGAATTAATTAATTTCAATTTTTTTACAAAAAAATTCATTTTTGTAATAATCATTTTCAATCTTTTAAGTATAGTTTAAGTTGTGTTTGAGATAATAGTAAAACAATAGAGATAAATTATTGAAATATTTGTTATAAAAACAATTTTAAGGAATAAAAATGGTTTTAAGAATATTTAATATATTTATAAATTGAAAAATAAAATATTATTCGAAATAGAGAAAAATAATTAAATAATTAAAAATAATTGATAAAGAATAATTAAAAATTAATTGGATATATTTTACACAAAAAGAAGATAGAGAAAAAATTGTTAAAATATATCAAGAGATATGTAAGTAACGCGAGAGTAAGACAACTCTTGAGAAGGAAAATGTTTTCCTCTTATTTAACTGAAAAAACATTTTTTCAAAAATACTTTATCATTTTTCTTTGATTGGAAATCATTTTCTGTTAATTTTTTTTCTAAATGCGAAACAAAGATTAAAAAATAGATCTCCCAAACAAACACAATCTGAGCCCACTTGGAAAGGGAGGTTAGGGGCATAATCTCCATCCCTAAAATGAGTCGGGCTTTCCGACCCACCTTTGCCTCCATATAGCCGAACCTAATAATCTCAAGATGTTAGCCGTACTTGTAAAACCGAGGAGGCCCATTTCATGGAAAAGAAAAATTTTTACCAGACCCATTTCTAGACTATTGTCAGTCTGTGGTGGTGGTCAACATTCTATTGAGCCCAATATCTCAAAAGTCCATTTTTGTACTACGATTCTTGTTCAATTTTCTTCCTATAAAATGAAAATTCATAAGTGTGAAATTTCTTAAATTTTCTCATCAGCTTAGCTACAGATGATATCGAAGAACTAATAACTGAAGATTTTATCTTACTACATAAAAAAAATTAAATTATATATTAAAGCCATCACCACAAAAGTGGAAGACCAAACATGCAGTATGTCGCCAGTTAGTTGAGCTCTTTTTTCCATCTTGAGCTCTACTTTTGGGGTGTTACCAACAACTTATTAGTTACCAAAAGAGTTAGGTTTCAGATTATACCATTAGACATACCAAAGTTGTAAGATTTGATTGCACCACGCCATTATAGAGTCGACAACGTGATATATATATATATATATATGCTATGACATGGCACGAAAACAGACACACAAAAATATATTCTTCGTTTCTAAGTTAATTATGTTGTTGTGCTGCCCGAATCTATATATTCTTCTTTTTGTCTTCCTTTTATTTTTCTAACTTCTGACTTCAATGTATTCACTGGGTTGTTAAGTCTTTTTTTTTTTTTTTCCCTTGCCCCATGCATATTTTTATGTATCCTTTAGCATGACCAGTTTTTTTTATGTAGTAGTTAAATTCATATTTACGTAATATCTTTGATCCAAAACCTTCCTCAAATATATATATATATATATTCTAAGAATAATTTTATTATTTAATGCATGAATATTTATTTAAGAAATGAATTAAGTGGGAATAAATTATTTAATACTTAATTAGTAAGTTATAATATCAATCGTGGTGGCTGTAATACTCTGAGGGTGAAATTATAAGATTTTAGGGGTTTAATTGCTACAATTAAACAATTGGATGCTTAATTAAAATAATTATAAAATTCAAATGACCACTATAAATTAGAAAAAAGCCTAGTTAAAGGCTGGATTGCAGAAAATTGAAAGTCTAGGGACTGAAATTGAAGGATCTGATTGGATTGATTAAAGAAGTTTAGGGATCATTTCACATACAAACCAAAATATCAAAAGTTAATAACATTTACAAGCTGGCTATAGGTATTATTGATACCCTTCGGCATAACCCCAGTTCTGAAAAATTCACACTATATCATACATGTCATCTCCAATAAGATGCCAAGCCACACATGCATACTGAAATTAAAGAAAGTCACACATACATACTGAAACCAAATTACAAACTGATTAAAATAAAACCTCCGAAATTAAGCTACTCTTGATCCATCGAACGTAAAATTTCTACCCAGACTAAGATGATTCTTTTTCCCAGAGCTTATAGAGGCATCATCAATTGGTTAAGCATTGCTCACTCAGACCAAGATGAGCCATGAGAAGGCAAACATGAGTGACTAACTCTCCACCTCGTGTAAGTGACTGAGCATGCTCTTTCCACCCACAATGACTGGCAGCATAAGTTAACATTTCTACCCAAACCTTGCTTATCATCTCCCACTTTCGTTCAGTTTCCCAACCATCCTGCGTCTCAAGTGACTGCAATTCCTTGGCAAGCTTGGAACCTTCGAACAGCCCCGACACTTGACTCCCTCGTTGCTCCAAAATCCTAATAAATCCATCCAAATCCCTTCCACCAGAGATGATGCTTTTTAAAGATGTAGAGAATACGGATACATCATTGCAGGTTTGCTTGTACCTTTCCTTACCAATCCCTTTAGGTAGCAAAAATGGGCAATCACCCAGAAGATACACCATGTAATTAGATAAAGAGACGCTCATTTTGCAGTTTGGATGAACATTATTGGCATCACCATCCCTTTTTCGGACTTCATCATGGTAACAAATATCGGTAGCAATGTGCCACAGAAGGAGGCTCTCATTAAAATCTGAACATTTCACACTCCAACCAAACTTTTCAAGGCATCTCTCTCCTCCAATCACCTGATCACCCCTCTCTGATAATATCTCATGTAAATCATTCTTGCCAGGATCATAAGCGCGCATACGATAACTATATCTTGAACGTTTATCTTTAAGTTGTTCGAAGATCAATTCTTTCAATTCAGGATTCACAACCTCCCAACTCTGAATGTGGTTTGTTCCAAGCAACTTCTTAATGGAAATGTCGAACCATTTGTTTTCAGTTAATTGAGCCCTCAGCAGGTTGTGTTGTGCCATTGATCCGGTCCACCTTTTGTTATTGTGAAGAAATGACCGGAACCATGAAGAACAAATCGCTCGATACACCAAATCGAACAATGGCTTCTTTTGACCGCTAAGCCAAAGCATAGCCCAGTCGGAGAAAAGAAGAAAAACAGCTCCATAAATCTCAATAATGATGGCTCCGACCAACAACGTGTATGATACAGTTATTTCGGTTGTTAAATAGCCATGGTTGTTTTTGGGCATACCTAGTGAGAAGGCAAGCAATGCAGAAACAAAACATAACAAGCTGACAGCACGAAGAATGATGTGTGACAAACGAATCCTCCACACCTTTGTAAAAAGCACATCATACATGAATCCCATCTCAACTTCAATTATGTGGAAGGCTTCTATGGCAGTCTTGTTTCGTAGGATAAGATAACTAGCCAAATGATTAGAATCAGAAAGCACGAGATCTGCATATAGTACCCCGAACATTTGAAAGAACAAATTAGCCACATGCAGAAATTTAGCCTCCGATATTATGTCACTCAAGCCTAGTTTTTGAATCAGTTGTTCATCAGTCATTTCGAAGAACTCAGAGTTGGAAAATCGGTTAAATTGGGAACGAAGTTCATTCATCTCTTTATATTTGGACCTCATGAGCTTCTCCGAGCTTGCTGACCTAAGAACCCAATTCCTTTCTCCATATTTAATCATTCCAGCAAGAAAGATGGGAATGGCTACAAATAACAGTGGATCCTTACTCCACCATGACCTCAAAAAGGCATAAAAAGCCACAACAACTTGGCTTCCTAGCTCCAACAGATGCCTTAACCACAATTCATTGTCTTCCACTGAAAATGCAGTGATAGTGTCAGGGCCACCGAGGTGCACAAGGAGGACTGGTGCCCAAAATGCAGGGATCAATCCTGGATTTGAATTGGTACAATTTGTTTCTGAATCTCCAAGCCTTTGAGCCAGGATACCCAATGAAAAAGTTGCCACCCAATCTGCTGACAAATATGCTAACCAAACAAGAATTCCAAGCAAGAATCCAGCCGTGTACTTTCGTCTACTCGCAAAGAGTATAAGAAAAACTTGCAGAAAGAGACTGAGCAAAATCACCGTGCGAAGCTCCCATCCATTCCACAGTTTTTGAACTGTGTGAGACACATCATGAATGCCCATGCTTGATTTCCTTCAATTAGACGAGGCTCTAACAACCAAAGTAAGAAGGAAAAGAGAGAGAGAGAGAGAGAGAGAGAAACATTTTGAGCACAACTTCAAACCAGCAAATATGAACATGAACAAAAGAAACATCAAAGAAAATGCTAGTAACCGCATAGCAATTTACATAGTGATTATAATTCTAGTAACCAGCCCGCATTAATTTAAAACATGAATCACACACAAATTTTCTGCCTAAGCTCCCTTAATTATGCTCAACAAATCAAATTATCAGGAATAATTAACAAAATGTGCCACTTATATATTATATAGCCATTTTTTTCCTCTGAAAAGTATAAATGTAAAACGAAAGAAATGGAATATAGACACATTCATTCACATCACAATGTACCTGAATAGTAATGCTTGAGCACCCAGCTAGCAACCTGAGTTTTGCTCCAATTCAAAATCCTATAACTAAATAAAAATGTATAAAAATATTAATGTTCGAGATTTATCACATCAATCCTAACTATTTAGTTCAAAATTAATGGTCTAGACTTATCTAACACGATAGATTATGTTATCCCTAATTTAAAGAACAAACATATTAAAAACTTAAAAAAAAAATCTATATGGTCTAGATTGATTAATATTATATCTAACATAACATGTTAGATAAATCTTAATTAAACCGCACCCCCCACCCCCCTCTCAAAAAAAAAAAAAATGAAAAAAAAAGACCAGCATACTTGAAGTTCTTAGAAAAATATTAATTCGTAATCATCTCATTTTTCTATATACATTTCATGCAAAATTCTAAATCACATACAATAGCCATTTTTAAATCATTTTTAACATATATAGACGCATTCTTTAACATCACAACGTACCTGAAGAGTAATGCTTGAGGATCCAGCGAGCAACCTGAATCTTGCTTCAATTCCTGTGCCACCAAATTGTGCTTTGTTCATATACAGTGATGGTGTAACATTATGAATTGTATGTATATTTTGGCACTGAAATCGTAGGTTGTTTTGATAAGAAAAATGGAAAACTGAAATCACATACAAATTGTAGACATATGCACCTCAGGACTATAAATTCTTAAAACTGAAGTCAAAGTTTATTCGCTCTATCTAGTATGTAGTAGGTTGTCTAAGTAGTCCAAGTTTGCAGCTTTTCGTCATGTTTCTCTTGCATTGATTGGTTAAGCTTTTTAGCCCTTGTTTGTGGCTTTGTATGCCTTTTGTCACACAGAGAGATAGAGAATATCAAATTAAAAAAACATAAAAAAAAATAATAATAAACTACACAATAAAGAGGATAAATTTTGCTATAGTTTGAACCAATACAGTTTTGGAGAACTCTTGAATCAAATTTGGCCTTCTAGAAGAATAGGGTTAAGTACAAATTTATAGAGCACATATCTTAGTCTTAATGGGTAGAGACTTTAGTAACAATCTAATCGTACAAAGTTTTCAATGTTAGCCAAAAAAAAACAATTCTAAGGCCATATCTATATACCATTACCAATTCTTGACGTCGGTGGCTGCTGTGGTGACTGGAGCGCAGCTGTGTGGGCTGGAACGGTAGTTGAAGTCGCTGGAGCGCGGCTGAAATGGCTGGCGGATGCTGGAGTAGAGAGGAAGAGGAAGGGTCGGTAGAAATCTAAGTTCTTGTATCTCTATAGGAGTGTATTATTGATCCCAAATTAAAAAATATTGACTTATACATTGACTTGTCACCCCAATCGAAGAAGAAGACTTCTCATTGATTTGAGATACAAATTCAAAATCGAAGTCCCAACAACTATTAGCATAACTTGGCAACATTCTATTGGTTAAAAGAGAAAGAACACTATTTATGACTATGAAGATGACCACAATGTCATTTTTTATTGTCAGTCAAAATTAAAAATTTAACAGACTACCTATCAATATTGCTTGGAGTTCTATTTTATTAATGACAATAAAATTAAATGCTTGAAGAGAATCAATCACAAAAAATTCATTATATTTTACCTCTTCTCTTCCTGCTTCTTCCAGCCGTCGCGATCACCATCGTTTATCCTGATAAGGCTTTCCACATACTTTTCAGAACCAAAAGAACTCGGTCCACCATGAATCTTTACAGCCTTAGCATGCTGTTTTTCCAATCATACCACATAAGCTTCTCATCATTCACTTCCAACAACAGCTTATCACCATCCTTAGAATAAACCAGAGGTCTCAAAAACATAAAAGTACACATCCATTTAATCCCTTGAACCGAACAAATCTTAGACCAAGATTCCTTCACACCATACTCTTTCATAACCCACACATCAACGCAAACATGATCATAATTACACATTACACACAAATTCCCTTTTAAAACCCCAACATGAACCTGAAAGTTCATACCTTTGTTTTCATAATCCGGTTGCGACAATTCGAAAAATTTATCATCCCTAACATCAAAACCAAGAACACAATCTCTAATACCAAGTCGACGCCTCTGAGGGGCAATCCAATGCACAGCGTGACCAGCATACCCTCTCCTGTGCAAAATATGAAAACAGGGCTTGCTTAATAACCTAAGCCGGGTCGGCAAACCCTCAATTTTCTTCCACTTATCATTCTTTAAAATATAAACCTTAACTTCATACTCACAACCAAACCCACCAGCACCATTACCTCCGCCGCCACCGCCATCTTCTCTAACAAACTGAGCCATTCTCACCCCTTTGTAATCATCACAAACAGCATCATAACCAAACCCATAGTTATCAAATCCCGCCGCGGCGGCTCAATCTCTGGCACATAGCATTTCTTCCACTCCCTTGTCGACAAATTATACACCGCAATATTTCTCTCCGAATGCCTCAAAAACACCAACCCATTAACCGAACCGATAACCTCCGTTCCACCACCGGCATAAAGCGGATGGTGTTTCACCTCCACCGCAGCAGAAAGATTATCGAAATCAACGTTGAAAACATCCCATTCTTTGAGGATGATGCTGTGATTAGATTTGGTAGTGATTGAATGGTTTAGATGCAGATTGATGAAATCTGGGCCGTCGATTAAGGAACAAATTGGTTTGGATAGAGATCTAAATCGGAGGACGGATTTCACCGGAAGTTGAAGCAAAATGTCTGTTATGAATGGTACGGAAAACATTTTTGGAGTAATTATGAATATTTTAATTTATGGTTTATAAAACTTATGATAATTCGAAAATAATTATAGGTGGTTTAATAGTTATTTTTGAATTTGATTGGGGAAAAAAAGATAGAGGAAAAATTAAGATAAAAATATTTTATGACAAAGTACAAGGGCTTTTTGTTGGGTTTGGGCGATGGGACCTTAGAATTTATAGTTGATTATATATTAATTCATTTCGTTTTGAAAAACGAATTAATTAGACTTTTTTATTTTAAAATCCAATCATTTAGTTTTTTTATTAAATTTATTTTGATTTTTTTTTAAGAAATTAAAAAAACTTATGAAAAAATTGATTAAAAGAGATGCATTTTATAAAATAAAAAAATATTAAATTAATCTTGATAACATTGTTTAAAAAGATTAAATAATTAAGGGACTAATTCATAATTTACTCATTTTGTAGCGACTATTAGTAAATTACTTTTGAATCATCTTCAATTTTTTATTAAAAAATTAAAAATTAAATGATAATAATCATTTCATAAGACAGAATCAAATATAAATTAAAAAAATAAAAATTGACGGATTAGGAGAAATGATATTCGTGGTAAGACCCATAGTTAAGAGAGTGGAAGTAGTAAAGTTGCGCTTGTGCGATGGAGAGAATTGAAAAACATGGCTTAATTAAGCCAACTTTGAAAGGGAGGTTAGGAGCATAATCTTCATCGCTAAAACGAGTTGGGCTTTACGGCCCACCTTTGCCTCCTTATAGTCGAACCAAATAATCTCAGGATGTTAGTCGTACTTGTAAATCTGAGAAGGCCCACTTCATCGAAAAGAAAAATGTTTACCGAACCCATTTATGGACTATTGTCATTCTGTATTGTCGGTCAAGATTCTATTTGGCCCAGTATTTCAAAAGTCTATTTTTGTGCTATGATTCTTGTTCAATTTTTTTCCTATAAAATGAAAATTTATAAGCGTGAAATTTCTTAAATTTTCTCGTCAGCTTAGCTAACAGATGATATTGAAAAACTAACAAGTGAAGATTTTATCTTACTACATAAAAAAAAATTAATTATATATTAAAGCGATCACTGTCGTATATTAGAGCTAAACATTCAATTTCGATTTCAGTTTAATTTTTGATTAATTAAATAAGTTAAGTCTTTATAATTTTATTTTTCTCACCTCATATAGATCATTGAATTCAAAATTGATAATAAATTTGAGACATAATCGTTTGTATTCCCTTACCATCTCAATCACTAGCCCCATATAAAGTGACAAATTAAGTAGAAACTAATTTATGGATCCTCTTGCCAAAAACATATAAATTCTCTAGATTTGTTATCCAAAATAAAAATAAAAACAAATTTTTACCATTTAATAGTGATCAACAGGTGGAAGGCATCGATTGCACGTGACAATGCTTAAGAGGTACACTTTTTTGGGTAGTGGGAGGAAAACATTTGGACCTTACAAAATCATTTGTATTACAATGGGCCCAAACTAGGAGTGACAATGTGGCTAGGCTGTGTTTTGGGGTAATTATTAATATTTTAATTTATGGTTTATAAAAATTATGATAATTTGAAAATAATTATCAATGGTTTAATAGTTATTTTTTAATTTAATCGGAGAAGAAAAATAGAGATAATAATAAGAAAAAGATCCGATTACTACTAGGGTTTTTTGTTGGGTTGGATGATGGGACCTTAGAATTGAAGTAAATTATAAATTAGTACATCTCGTTTTGATAAATGAATTAATTAGTTTTACTTGTTTTAAAACCAAATCTTTTAGTTTTTTTATTATTTTTAATTTATTTTGATTTTTATTTTAAGAAATAGAAATAAAAAAATAAGTAAAAGTTAGGAATTGTATTTAACAATCCAAGTGCAATATCCAAAGCTCAAAACTTAGCTCTTTTTTACTCAACCATAGAGAAACCAAATTGTGTTTTGTTCATATATAGTGATGGTGTAACATTATGAATTGTATGTACATTTTGACACCGAAATCGTAGGTTGTTTTGATAAGAAAAATGAAATACAACTTTACTCTCATCATAAGTTAAAACTTAGGTAAATTATAGAGATATGCACCTCGAGACTATAAATTCTTACAATTGAAGTCAAAGTCTATTCGCTTTATATAGTATGTAGGTTGTCTAAATAGTCCAACTTTGCAACTTTTCGTCATGTGTTCTCTTGCATTGATTGGTTAAGCTTTATCCTTTGTTTTTGGCTTTATGCCTTTTGTCACACGCAAAGATAGAGAATATTACATAAAAAAAATCACACAATAAAGTGGATAAATTTTACTATAGTTTGGAGCAATACGGCTTTGGAGAACTCTCAAACCAAACTCAAATACATGTATAGGACGAGAGAGTAAATTATCCGAAAGAACAACATTTCACTTGTAAGTTCAATATCAAATATTTGTGCTTAATTATGGTATTATTTTGAGCAATTGTGCCAAATTGATTAAAGTATCTATATACCATTACCAATTCATGACACAACTTTACTAGAATAGTGGTGTCGATGTTGGTGGTTGCTATGGTGATTAGAGCCCGACTAGGAATGCGACTGGAGCGGATAAAATGGGCGACGGCTGCTAAATGTGACGAGAAAGGTTGGCGGCAGTTGTTAACAATGGGGTTTTGGTGCATGTTAGCTAGCAGCGCGGACTTGAGGAAGATCGACGAGAAGAGGATGATGTTAGGTGCTAGCATGACTTTGGGGTTCATGGATTGTCGCTACCCGACGTCGGACGGGACTCCCAAAAAATATAACTCGATGTATCTTGTTTTAGATTTTTATTTTATTTATAAAACTATTTACGAGTTTGGAGTCTCCACCTAGTATTGAAGGAACCGGGAACCTAAAATTGGCACTCGGTTCAAAGATTCTATGGTAAGGAGTCGGTTATGCTTATGGGAAGATAATTAATCACCCAAAAGTGCCTTTTCCTAAGAAAGGTACCATGTCTAGCTTAGCCCTAAATTACCTCCTAAAGTATTTCATTTTTGCCACATTATTTTTCTAATTTTTCAAGTCAAATTAAGTTTTTTATTTTTGAGCGTGGCATCGTATTGAAACGATCGTTGGACCCCTTCCATCGGGAGACACGTCGGTTCAAACATCGAATTCATTTTTTAGTCTCGACACAACCGGTGTGCCGGAGAACTCTTGTTTATTAAAATAAAAAATTTTAGCTAACAACAATCCCTATCGGATAGGAGATTTTGTTAAAAAATTTTATGATTTTTTTGTTACTTTTCTTTCTTTATTTTTTTATTTTTTATGTTTTTATTTTTTTTCTTGCATAAATACTATTTTTTATTTTATTATTATTATTATTATTATTTTAAGTGAAAGATTGTCATCGGTCCCTAAAAAATTTAGGAGACTTGACGATCTTCTACTTATTACTTACTAAGCCTAATTCTAAACAAATAAATTAAAGCTACAACATATTAAATAAAAAAAAATTCAAATATTGAAATTTCAATTAATAATAGGCATGCATAAAATAAATTCAAGGGTAAATTCAAACAATTACAAAATATTAAAATGACAAATTCTAACTAACATGCATAAATAAACCTAAAATTAAATTTACATGAAAAATAAATAAAGACCATTTAACATCTAAATAAAAAATGGAATAACATGCATAACATTAAAATGTAAAATTTATTACACATATTTTTTGTTGTTTTTCTTTCTTTATTTTTATTTTATTATTATTATTTTTTTGTTTAAGTGAAAGATTGTCATCGATCCCTAAAAAAAATTAGGAGACTTGACAATCTTCCACCCATTACTTACCAAGCCTAATTACCAATGAAATAAATTAAAGCTACACTAACCAAATAAATGAAAGAAAAGAAAAAAATTCAAATATTGAAATGTAAAAAATAGACATGCATAAAATAAGTTCAAATTTAAAATCACATTAATTAAAATATTTACGGACAATTAAAATATTAAATTCTAAGTTAACATAAATTAACAAACATGCATAAAATAAACTCAAGATTAAAAATTACATTAATTGAAATAATTAAAAAATTCAATATCTAACTTAAATATGAAATAATAATAAAAAATTTTATTTTTATTTTTATTTTATTTTTGTTGGGTTTGGGTCGGATCTGTCCGACCCACCCGAAAGGAAAATTTCGAGTCGGCTGAGTCGATCTAGCCCCGCTACATGCGGGTTGGGCTTACTTCTAAAAATAAAATATTAACCCAAAAAACATAACCCAAACCATATTTTCAAAAGTTTTAGATCAAAACCCAATTTTTATTTTTCCTTTCTCTTCATCTCTTTTCCGTTTTCTCCTCCTTCTTTCTTATTCTTTTTTTTCCCTTCTTCCTCCCTCAACTCGCTATGGACGAACCACCATTGGTTTGTCCCTATTTCTCTTCTTTCTTTTCTTTCGTTTTCTTCCCTTTCTTCTCTTCCTCCTTTCCTTTTTTTTTCTTTCTTCTTCTTCTTCTCTCTCATGGCCGAAGCTTCCATGGACGAACCGGTGGTGGTTCGTCCATGGCCACTCGATTGCTTCCCTTTTTCTTTTTACTTCCTTTCTCCCTTCTTTCCTTCCTTCCTAAACACCTTAATTCCCCTCTAGATCGAAAACCCCAAATCAATTTTTTTCAAAAAATCTCCAATTTGGTCGAACCTAAGTTTTGATTTTTCATCAAAATTTTCTTTCAAGTAGACCTAATTGAATTGATTTCAAGTGAAATCAAGTCAATTCAACCCTTTAGGACTTGAAATTTTGAAAACCCCCAAATCAATTTATTCAAAAATTATCGGGAACCCTAGATTTAAATTGACATCAATTCGGCTTCAATTTGAGGTTTAAACCCCAAATTGAAACCGCAATTGCCTTCAATTAGGTTTATTTTGTCCTTCCTAAACTCAATTCGCACCCAAATTCAAAAACCCCCCAAATTTCAAAACACAATCCTAACTTCTGTCAAAACCAAAATTAACGAGAAATTAAATGGTATTACCTATAAGGATTGATGAAAATGGGTATAGATTGCGACTTCAATTGGGGTAAATTCAATTTCTTTCCCTCTTTTGGATTTTTTCTTTTGTGCTACTAATTTTCTCTTTTTTTTTTTTTCGGGCTCTTAATTTTTGTGGACTTCCCGCCTTTTTTTTTGGACTGAATCCTCCCTTTTTTTTTGCCTTATTTTGCTACGGTTCGTGTATATATATATATATGTGAATGTGGCTTGGTTCTCCACCATGATGGTGTGAGATTTTTTTTTTTTTTTTGCGGGATATGGAGTGGGCGAGTGTGGCCATTTGGGTTGTAGGGGATGGTTGTGGCGGTGGCCGGTAATAGGGGAAGGCTATGCGATTGCCGCAAGTTGCAACATGGTGAGGTTACGGGAATTGGGGAGGCTCGTAGGGTGGTGCCTGTAGAAATGATAGCAGTAGGGGGTGTTGGAGGCACCGTGGAGGTTGTGTGGTCGTGGGGGCTAGCAGGAGAGGGTTGGGTGATGATGCAACTGCTGGAATTTGCAACGATAGGGTGGTCGGCGAGGTAGAGGGTGCCGAGATTGTTGACTTGGGAGGAGTTGGGTAGCTGCAAGTTAATAAATTTTTTCTTTTTTCTTTTTTTTTTTAATTTTTTTTGTAATTCTGCAGTTTTGGTCCTTAAAAATCATTACGAGGTCAACTTAGTCCTTGTGCAACGTAATCCGAGCCTCAAACGTTGAATGATTCGATTATATCCCTAATGAATGTAATTATTTAGAATTTACTACAATTGCATCCGTGAATATTAAATTTACATTATTTTTGTATTTTTGTATTTGTTTTTTTCATTTTGCAAATTATTAGGTAAAATGGAATAAATAAAAATAAAAACACCGATTAAGATAAGGAAAAAAAACTTAAAATAAAATAAAAGAAAAAAATAATCAATTAAAAATAAAAAAATTCTGAAATTTTGGTTATGACAGGGATGACTGTGGAAGAGGACGACTATTGGAGTAGAGAGGAAGAGTCGATAGAAATCTAAGCTTTTTTTTTTTTAACCTCTATAGGAGTATGTTATTGTTCTATTTTCTCAAAATAAAATAAAATAAAAACAAAAACCATAAACATAAACAAAAAAGGAATGTTCTTAAACTTGGTACTCACATAATTTTCATAAATAGAGTTTTCTAGATGTGTGTTTGAGTACGTAATTAGCCTCTCTCTCTGTTTTTTTTTTTTTTTTGAAAACAAATAAGATATAAAACATTCCTTAAGTAAACACAGAATTTGTATTGGGATAATTTCATAGAGTTTTCGAACACTTAGAAAATGACTATCGGGAAGACTCATTTTCTAAGAAAATAACTTCCTTGATTCAATTAATAAAAATGATTTCTACAATTTTCAAGTTCTTAGAAAATTTAATTTGAACAAGTTAAACAAAATTACTTTCAAAATTATATTTTAGAATCAAACAAAATTTAAATTTGCACGTCCCATACATTATTATAAAGTCAAGTTAGATAACATATTTCACATTGAATAGTTAAACAAGAGATGAGTGATATATAAAGTTAACCCACCACAAGTTTTAAGTCTTTTGGATGGAATTTAATCTCAACTATTTAACTTTATATAGTATCAAAGCCTTAAATAGATCTAATAGCCCAACGAAAGACCTCGGAACCCAAGTCATTTGAGAAATTTCAAAAAATGAGTTGTAAGTAAAGGAGAGTGTTAGAGAATATATCTCACATTGAATAGTTAAATAAAAGATGATTAATATATAAAGTTGAAAAGAAATCATCCACCATAAGGTTTAAGTTTTTTAAATGGAATCCAATCTCAAGTATCTAACTTTATAAAGACACGACAACAACAAACGAGATAGTAATCGATTCTACAACAAAAACGAGATAGAGTTGTTACTTGTTTATTATTCCTAGCCTCTTAAGTGACAATTCTTATTCGTATTATCTACTCAAAATAATAGATATACCTCATGTAAATCACTCAATTATATATATACAATATCTCTACAACAACACTTACACTTGGTAAGTAATTATTCAAACATTATAGTATTACAATTTGGTATCGAGCTTCAAAAAGAAGCCTAACCACTCGTAAAGATCTTAGAGTCTAAGCCACTTGACATATTTTAAAAGATAGACTGTAAGTGAGAGAGATTGTTAGAGAAATTATCTCACATTGAATAGTTAAATAAAAAATGATCAATATATAAATTTAGAAGATGCTATCCATTGTAAGGCTTAAATCTTTTGAATAAAATCCAATTTCAACTATTTAACTCTGTATGGTATCCGAGTTCGAATCTCACCATTTTCATTTCTCTTTTACTTAATTAAGCACAATATAATGTGAGCCTATGTAAGTTTCAAGTCGAAAGAACTTTCATTTGAGAAGGTATGTTAAAGAGTAATATAAACCATTTCTAAAGCCTCACCTAATAATTTAAACTTTTTGGGTTGAGTTGATTTTTTGTTAGCCACAAATTAAATCAAATGATTATAGGCTACTGAAAAAGAGAAAAAAGTAAGAATATATCACTTTTAGCACAATTAAGCCAAAACTTTAAATGATTCGGCACACTTCAAAATTGTTATTACTAATTTTTACTTTTCTTCTGAATGTATGCATGTGAGTATGTAATTTTTTTGCACATTTATTTTTTGAAAAAAAAATAAATAAAACATTTCTTATGTACACACAAAATTTGGATTAGGATCATCGTTAAATTTAAATCATTGAATTCAAATTGAATGGATATGATTTAGTACATGATAAAAATAGTATAACTCATTATTTTATTTTATCTATTTATATATGCATGTGTTATACCAAAATTTAATATGAGCTTTGACCCAATAAATTAGATAGATAAAACCAAATAAGTTTTTTAATGGATTTTTCTTCTTAATGTCTTTTTTGATTGGCTTCACTTAACTCCATTGGTTTTTCTAAAAAATAATAACAATAACAATAACAATAAAATCAAACATAACTCAAATACTCAAAATGAAAATCAACATTATTTTATAATTAAAGAAGAAATAGAATAAATTACCTGATTAAAATAAAAACTCATGAAATCAAGATACTGTTGAGGTTGGAGATAGAAGAAGAAAATAAAAATAGTAGTGACTTAAAATTAAATGGACTTTCGTGGCATATATGGCATCATCAGTTGGTTAAGCATTGCTCACTCAGGCCAACATGAGCCATGAGAAGGCACACATGAGTGACTAACTCTCCACCTCGTGTAAGGGATTGAGCATGCTCTTTCGATCCACAATGATTGGCAACATATGTCAACATTCCTACCCAAACCTGGCTTATCGTCTCCCACTTTCGCTTATTTTCCCAACCATCCTCCGTCTCAAGTGACTGCAATGGCTGCGCAAGCATGGAACCACTATACAGCACCGACACATCACTTACTTGTGTTTAGAATTTAAATCGAAATGATTCCCATTCAGCTTCTGTAGAGAATTTGGAGACATCATTGTAGTTTTGCTTATACATTTCTTTACCAATCCTTTTAGGTAGAAAAAATGGGCAATCACACAGAAGATACACCATGTAATTAAATAAAGAGACACTCATTTTGCAGTTGGGATGAACATTATTGGCATTACCGTCCTTTTTTGGGACTTCATCATGGTAACAAATATCGGTAGCAATGTGCCACATAAGGAGGCTCTCATTAAAATCTGAACAGTTCACACTCCAACCAAAATTTTCAAGGCATCTCTCTCCTCCAATCACCTGATCACCCCTCTTTGATAATATCTCATGTAAATCATTCATGCCAGGGTCATGATTGCACATCCGATAACTATATCTTGAACGTTTATCTTTGAGTTGTTCGAAGATCCATTCTTTCAAACCAGAACTCAAAACCTCCCAACTCTGAATGTGGTTTTTTCCAAGCAACTTCTTAATGGAAATGTTGAACCATTTGCTTTCAGTTAATCGATCCCTTAGCAGCCTAGCAGGTTGTGTTGCGCCATTGATCTTTTCCACCTTTTGTCATTGTGAAGAAATGACCGCAACCGTGAAGAACAAATTGTGAAGAAATTAAAAGTTATGAAAAGATTGATAAAAAGAAGATACATTTTATAAAATAAAAAAATATTAAATTAATCTTGATCAACCTTAGTTAAAAAAATTAAATAATTAAGTTTGGAAATTAGTAGGACTAATTAATTTGTTTCTCGAAAAGAGAGAGACTAATTTATAGTTTACTCATTTTGTAGCAACTATTGGTAATTACTTTTGAATTAACTTCAATTTTTTATTAAAAAATTTAAAAAATATATAAAAAATTAACTAATAATAATTATTTCATAGGACAAAAGCATATATAAATAAAGAAAAAAATTGACGGATTAGGTTGGAAAGGAAGAATCAATGTTGGTGGTAAGGCCCATATATAAGAGATTGGAAGTAATAAAGTTGTGCTTGTGCGATGGAGAGAATTGACAAACATGACTTAATTAAAGCTCTTTTTGTTTGACGAAAAACAACTTCCATAAGAAAATCAATTCCTGAAGAAGCTATTTTCTAGGAAATTATTTTTCAAAAAAATATTTTCTACTTGTTTGACAATTACATGAAAGAACTACTAAAAAATATATCTCAACATTTGTTTGATACGAGAAAATTAAAATACAAAAACAATATGTGATTGTTACATCAACAAGTTTTGAAAAAACTTCAAGAAAACATATTCACAATTTCACAATATAAGATACATTTAGAAAAATTTAATAAAATTTTATAAATATTGACTCTAAACTTTTAATTCAAAAAATAAAATATACTTTTTTAACTATCAAACCAATTCATCAAAATTACTTAGGACAAAATCAAGTCAATATTCACATTTAATATATATATATATATATATATATATATCTAAGCAATCCTAGTATTATTATTTTGGTAACTCAATTAAGAATTTTTATTTTTTTTGAAAATTGAACTAATAATTTAGTCTAAAAATTAGTTTTATTATTAGTTATAATTTGTAGATAATTATTCATTTGGTTTCATAAGAAAATCAATTCTCGAAGAAGCTATTTTATAGGAAATTATTTTTCAAAAAAATAGTTTTCGCTGTTTGACAATTATATGAAAAAACTACTAAAAAATATATTCCATCATTTATTTGATACAAAAAATTAAAATACAAAAACAGTATGTGATTTTTACATCAACAAGTTTTGAGAGAACTTCAAAAAAACATATTCAGAATTTCACAATATAAGATACATTTAGAAAATTTTAATAAATTTTCATATATATTTGACTCTAAAATTTCAATTCAAAAAATAAAAAGTACTTTTTTAACCATCAAACCAATTCATCAAAATTACTTGAGACAAAATCAATTCAATATTCACATTTAATAATAAAAAAAAATCTAAGTAATCCTAGCATTATTATTTCGGTAACTCAATTAAGAATTCTTTTTTTTTTTTAAATTGAACTCATAATTTAGTCTAAATTTTTTTTTATAAATTATTATTTATCTTTTATAGATAATTATTCATTTGGTTTCAAAAGATTAATGTTGGAATAATTTGTAACTAATTATTCACTACAATTGCCAACAAAAACTTTACAACTGATAAAAATTATAAATTATTAATTTAGTTACAAATGAATAGTGTTGAAAAAATAATGTATTTATTAATGAATTAATTAATTTTAATTTTTTTACAAAAAATTACAGTCTTGTAATAATCATTTTAAATCATTTAAGTATAGTTTAGGTTGTGTTTGAGATAATTGTAAAACAATAGAGATAAATTATTGAAATATTTGTTATAAAAATAATTTTAAGGTGTAAAAATAGTTTCTAAGAATATTTAATATATTTATAAATCAAAAAATCAAATATTAGTAGAAATAGAGAAAAATAATTAAATAATTAATAATAATTGATAAGAAATAATTAAAAATTAATTTGATATAGTTTACATAAAAAGAAGATAGAGAAAAAATTGTTAAAATATATCAAGAGAGAGGTAAGTAACGCGAGAGTGAGACAACTCATGAGAAGAAAAATGTTTTCCTTTTATTTAACTTGGAAAATATTTTTTCAAAAATATTCTATCATTTTTCTTTGACTGAAAATCATTTTTTGTTGACTTGTTTTCTAAGTGCGAAATAAAGATTGAAAAAGAGAAAAAACAAGTTCCAGGAACTTTTTTTTCCTTAAAAAACACAACCTGAGCCCACTTGGAAAGGGAGGTTAGCGGCATAATCTCCATCCCTAAAATGAGTTGGGCTTTCCGGCCCAACTTTGCCTCCATATAGCCGAACCTAATAATCTCAAGATGTTAGTCGTACTTGTAAAACCAAGGAGGCCCATTTCATGGAAAAGAAAAATTTTATCGGACCCATTTCTAGACTATTGTCAATCCGTGGTGGTGGTCAAAATTCTATTGGGCCCAATATCTCAAAAGTCCATTTTTGTACTACGATTCTTGTTCAATTTTTTTCCTATAAAATGGAAATTCATAAGTGTGAAATTTCTTAAATTTTCTCATCAGCTTAGCTATAGATGATATTGAAGAACTAATAACTGAAGATTTAATCTTACTACATAAATAAAAAATTAAATTATATATTAAAGCCATCACTACGATGAACATTCATTTCGATTTTTAATATTTTGATTTGGTTTTTGATTAATTAAATACATGAAAAAAAATTGAATCTAAATTGAATTACTGATAATAACATTCATCTGAACTGTTCAACTAGTTTGTCCGTCAATATTTCTAATCTCTTCCATTATAATTTTTTTTTTTTTGTTAATAGTATAGATATTTTTATTTTAGGTTTTGAATAATGAAAAATAGATAGGAAATGAATAAACACAAAGAAGTTCAGTCACTTTTTACAGTAACAATTCTAATCTTTATTATTATTCTTTGGTAGAATTTTCAGACTAGTTTTTACACAAGAATGAGATAAATTCTTCCTAATCTAATGACCAGTTCGCTGAAATGAGAAAATAGGAGAGGGGAGAAAAAGTTAAGAATATTCAGCAAAACAACAAAGTAAAGCTAAACCTTAGAAGGATTAAGCTAGCTGATAAAGATCAAGAATATCATAGAAACAAAAGAAATGATAATACATGAGAAAGTTCATTTCTGATTAATTGAAATATTAAAAATAACAGTTAAGTAATGGCTAATTGATTATAGAATATTCTAACTACTCGTCAATAAAAAAAATTCTAATTTTTTTTTCTAATTTGGATCTCCAACTTTTTTTTTTATATGCAATTAAGTTTTTTCGTTCTGCATCCAATCTTAGATCACATTGAACACACATAAGGAACATGTAAAGCCATAAAACAACAATAAGGTCATAGGAGTTCAAATCCTACAACCTTATTTTTATAATTAAAATTTTCAATTAGTTTGTAACTGAATTGTATTCTTACATAAAAATGTAGAGATAAGATATTTTTTATCAAATAACAAATTCAACTCAAAAGTTTAAGTGCTACTACCTTGTGCTAAAAATTAATTTAATTATAAATAAAGAGGATGATATGATTCGAACTCATGATCGTTTAAAAGTGAAACTCTCATATCATATCAAATGATAATTTTAATGCAAAATCTTAAACTATTGGATGACACCCAAAGAATGCTTTTATATTAATTCTCGGACATCCCTTCATTTGCAATCCATCTATCGAAGTTTTAGAATTTTTTTTTTTTTTTTTTTTTGCACTATTGAGCTTGTTTGAATCTTTGCTATCATATTGAATTTGATAATTGAGTTAGGGTTTCATGAAAACAAAAAAGAAAAAAAAATTATTGTGGATGGCTCATTCCAAATCTTTTCTATTGCTTTATTTTCTTATAATCATTTGATATGGGATGATTTATCTCTAGCACTTTTGTTAATTGAACTCTAATAAATTTGGATCAAACTAAAAAAAAAATAAAAAAAAATCCTTAATTCCAACAACAATCATATTCCAAACCATACCTAAAAAAATATTATATTAATCCCCTATAGTATTAAGGAATTATAAAAATCATCCAAAAATTGTAAAGACACTTCACAAACCTCTTTTTATATCTAAAATACCATTAATATTTTTAAAGTAGCTATACTATTAGGGTTGATTTTAAAAATATTGAGAACATTTTAAGTGCAAAAAAAAAAAAAAAAAAAAGGATTTTGATGATTTCTATAAGTTAATGATATATTAGGAAGTTATTATAATTTTATGTTTTTTTTTATATACGTTTGATAATCTTCTAGATTATTTAAATGAGATAAAATGACATAAGTAGAATCGGATCAGAAGTTCAAATTTAGTAAAATTAGACAGGCCCAATTCTCTTTCCACAGTATAATAAATATGGGCTAGGTCGAAATTTTTTTGGGCCCATTAGCATCCAAAGTCAAACTATATTAGTTTTGTATCTTTTGGGGTCCAAAATAAAACTACCATAAGAAGAAAAGGATAGAAATATTAAAGACCTTTGTGATGAAGGGTTATCCCCCATTAATTTCTCTCTCCATATTAATTAATGCATTCTTTTCATACAATATACGAATAAAAAAAATACACAAGTTTTTTTATAATTGAATATTGAAATATTTTATAAATATTACAATCAATTACTGGTTTTTTTCTTCAAAATTTCAAAGAAAAAAAAATCACATGAGGTAAAGTAGGCTAATTTGTTATGGAGGAGGAAGAAATACTAAAACTTTATATTGGGAATGCATGAATAAAATCATACTTACATTCACTCGCAAATTGAGGCCAAAATGTTACCAAATTGAGAAGTGTTTAGAGTCCTCGTAACACAAAAATGTGTTTTATTTAGAGATTATGGGATCTTATATATAAACTTGATTCTTCTTAATTCTTACTTGAACACACACACATATATACTTAACATAAGGAATAGAATAAATTGTTTACTCTCATCATACTTTTTAAAACTTTATGAAAGGTGTAAGTATATTATATATTAAAGGTTCCTTGCGAAAGAAAAATATAATAGCAAATGAAGTTTTTTTAGGAACGTCATAACCCATATTAAAGGTTTTTCAAAATGATATCAAAGTCTTTTTGACCAAATAGTTAGGAATTCAAATCCTACAATCTTATTTTTATAATTGAAAATTTTAATTAGTTTGTAACTAAATCGTATTCTTATGTAAAAATGAAGAGACATACGCTTAGCAAATAACAAATTCAACCCAAAAGATTAATTGCTGCTAACTTGTGCTAAAAATTAATTTAAATATAAATAACGAGGGTGATATAATTCGAACTCATGATCGTTTTATATTAATTCTAAAACATCTCTTCATTTTCAATCTATCTATTGAAATTGTAAAGTGGCATGAGTTTTAAAATCTTTGTTCATTGTTGAGATTGTTTGAATCTTTGCTATCATATAGAATTTGATAATTGAGTTAGGGTTTCATGAAAAGAAAAAAAATATTGTGAATGGCTCATTCCAAATCTTTTCTATTGCTTTATTTTCTTATAATCATTTGATGTGAGATTCCGAAACATAACTTAAAAAAATTATATTAATCCCCTATACTATTATGAAATTGTAGAAACCATCCAAAAATTGTAAAGATACTTCACAAACCTCTTTATATATCTAAAATATCATTAATATTTTTAAAACCACCGTACTATTAGGCGGTGATTTTAAACATTTTGAGTGCAACAAAAAAAAAAAAGATTTTAATGATTTTTATAATTTAATGATATATTAGGAAGTTATTATAATTTTCTGTTTTTTTCAATGCATTCGTTAATCTTCTAGATTGCCTAAATGAGATGAAACGACATAAGCGGAATCGGTCAAGAAGTTAGGATTTAGTAAAATTAGACACGCTCAATTCTCTTTCCATCTTATAGTAAATATGGGTTGGGTCGAAATTTTTTTGAGCCCATTAGCTTCCAAAGTCAAACTATATTAGTTTTGTCTTTTTTGAGGTCCAAAATGAAACTACGACCAGAAGAAAAGGATAGAAATATTTAAGACCTTTGTGATGAAGAGTTATCCTCCATAACTTTTTTTTCCTTTTTTTGTTTTAACCAAACAAAAATAAAACTGGGTGAAAACATGCAAGAATAATTTTTCACCTCTCCCCACCTCTCCTATCTGACATATTCTAAAGACAAAATTCTTTCAACATGAAATTTCAAATTCTAATCATGCTATTATTAATTTTTCATAAAGTAATACATTCACCATTACTTGTCATTTTTTTTAATAAAAGAAAAAAAGATTTGATGTTGGAAACATTTTGGTCATGTAACAAACCAAATTTTTACAATCGGCATGTATCTTTTACATGATTTTGAAAAAAGACAATTACAATCAGTAACAAGTTTTTTTTTTTTTTTCGTATTTAGATGTTGTACTTTTTGAATTTTTTTTTAATTGAGATTTTTTATTCTTTTTTTTTGTTTCATTGGAATCTTTTATTTTTAAGATTTTTAGTTTTAGACTTTCTGTTATAATGCCAACAATTAGTAATCGACAAGTGATATTATATAGTAAAAAAAAATTGAAGAGTAGAGGTGATTCGTTAATTGCAAATTGTTGATGTTATAATTGAAGGTTTAAAATAAAAAATTTTAAAAAATAAAAATAACTTATCGATCACTAGCTAGTAGCATTATACTGAAGATTTTGGAGGAAAAAAACTCTAAGATTAAAGGATGTCAGTTACTTTATTCACGACAATTGTTGAAATTACAAAGAATTAAGGAGTCGTAATCAATGATTAGCAAATGTACAGTCTTACATTTCCCATTTCCCATTTGTCCTCGTTTAACTAGTGATCCTCTGTCTCCAATGAACTTAATGAGCCGGCGAGCATGCAACTCTCTGCTAGCACGACAGTGCCATTTGATTGCTACCACTAAAATTTTGAAGTAAATAATTGGAAACACCCCAGGTAGTAGTTAAAGTCATATTTACGTAATATCTTTGATCCAAAACCTTCCTCAAATATATATATATATATATATATATTCTAAGAATAATTTTATTATTTAATACATGAATATTTATTTAAGAAATGAATTAAGTGGGAATAAATTATTTAATACTCAATTAGTAAGTTATAATATCAATTGTGGTGGCTGTAATACTCTAAGGGTGAAATTATAAGAATTTAGGGGTTTAATTGCTACAATTAAACAATTGGATGCTTAATTAAAATAATTATAAAATTCAAATGACCACTATAAATTAGAAAAAAGCCTAGTTAAAGGCTGGATTGCAGAAAATTGAAAGTCTAGGGACTGAAATTGAAGGATCTGATTGGATTGATTAAAGAAGTTTAGGGATCATTTCACATACAAACCAAAATATCAAAAGTTAATAACATTTACAAGCTGGCTATAGGTATTATTGATACCCTTCGGCATAACCCCAGTTCTGAAAAATTCACACTATATCATACATGTCATCTCCAATAAGATGCCACACATGCATACTGAAATTAAAGAAAGTCACACATACATACTGAAACCAAATCACAAATTGATTAAAATAAAAACTTCGAAATTAAGCTATTCTTGATCCATCGAACGTAAAATTTCTACCCAGACCAAGATGATTCTTTTTCCCAGCGCTTATAAAGGCATCATCAATTGGTTAAGCATTGCTCACTCAGACCAAGATGAGCCATGAGAAGGCAAACATGAGTGACTAACTCTCCACCTCGCGTAAGTGACTGAGCATGCTCTTTCCATCCACAATGACTGGCAGCATAAGTTAACATTTCTACCCAAACCTTGCTTATCATCTCCCACTTTCGTTCATTTTCCCAACCATCCTCCGTCACAAGTGACTGCAATGCCTTGGCAAGCTTGGAACCATTGAACAGCCCCGACACTTGACTCCCTTGTAGCTCCAAAGTCTCAATAAATCCATCCAAATCACTTCCACCAGAGATGATTCTTTTTAAAGATGTAGAGAATTGGGATACATCAATGCAGGTTTGGTTGTACCTTTCTTTACCAATCCCTTTAGGTAGCAAAAATGGGCAATCACACAGAAGATACACCATGTAATTAGATAAAGAGATGCTCATTTTGCAGCTTGGATGAACATTATTGGCATCGCCACCATCTTTTGGGAAATCATAATGGTAACAAATATCGGTAGCAATGTGCCACATAAGGAGGCTCTCATTAAAATCTGAACAATTCACACTCCAACCAAGCTTTTCAAGGCATCTCTCTCCTCCAATCACCTGATCACCCCTCTCTGATAATATCTCATGTAAATCATTCTTGCCAGGATCATAAGTGCGCATGCGATAACTATATCTTGAACGTTTATCTTTAAGTTGTTCGAAGATCAATTTTTTCAATTCAAGACTCACAACCTCCCAACTCTGAATGTGGCTTTTGCCGAGCAACTTCTTAATTATGGAAATGTCGAACCATTTGTTTTCAGTTAATTGAGCACTTCGCAGGTTGTGTTGTGCCATTGATCCTGTCCACCATTTGTTATTGTGAAGAAATGACCGGAACAGTGAAGACCAAATCGTTCGATACACCAAATTGAACAATGGCTTCTTTTGACCGCTAAGCCAAAGCATAGCCCAGTCGGAGAAAAGAAGAAAAACAGCTCCATAAATCTCAATAATGATGGCTCCGACCAACAACAAGTATGATACAGTTATTTCGGTTGTTAAATAGGCATGGTTGTTTTTGGACATACCTAGTGAGAAGGCAAGTAATGCAGAAACAAAACATAACAAGCTGACAGCACGACGAATGATGTGTGACAAACGAATCCTCGACACCTTTGTAAAAAGCACATCGTACATGAATCCCATCTCAACTTCAATTATGTGGAAGGCATCTTCGGCAGTCTTGTTTCGTAGGATAAGATAACTAGCCAAATGATTAGAATCAGAAAGCACGAGATCTGCATGTAGTACCCCGAACATTTGAAAGAACAAATTAGCCTCATGCAGAAATTTAGCCTCAGGTATTATGTCATTCAAACCTAGTCTTTGAATCAGTCGTTCATCAGTCGTTTCGAGTTCATCAGTCATTTCGAAGAACTCAGAGTTGGAAAATCGGTTAAATTGGGAACGCAGTTCATTCATCTCTTTATATTTGGAACTCATGAGCTGCTCCGAGCTTGCTGACCTAAGAACCCCAATCCTTTCTCCATATTTAATCATTCCAGCAAGAAAGATGGGAACGGCTACAAATAACAGTGGATCCTTACTCCACCATGACCTCAAAAAGGCATAAAAAGCCACAACAACTTGGCTTCCTAGCTCCAACAGATGCCTTAACCACAATTCATTGTCTTCCACTGAATATGCAGTGATAGTGTCAGGGCCACCGAGGTGCGCAAGGAGGACTGGTGCCCAAAATGCAGGGATAAATCCTGGATTTGGATTCGTACAATTTGTTTCTGAATCTCCAAGCCTTTGAGCCAGGATACCCAATGAAAAAGTTGCCACCCTATCTGCTGACAGATAGGCTAACCAAACAAAAGTTCCAAGCCAGAATCCAGCTGTGTACTTTCGTCTACTCGCAAAGAGTACAAGAAAAACTTGCAGAAAGAGACTGAGCAAAATCACCGTGCGAAGTTCCCATCCATTCCACAGTTTGTGAACGGTTTGAGACACATCATGAATGCCCATGCTTGATTTCCTTCAATTAGACCAGGTTCTAACAACAAAAGTATGAAGAAAAAAAAAGTGAGAGAGAGAGAGAGAAACATTTTGAGCACAACTTCAGACCAGCAAAAAAGAACTTGAACTAAAGAAACATCAAAGAAAATGCAAGTAATCACATAACAATTTACATAGTGATTATAGTTCAAGTAAGGATAACAAATCAAATTATCAGGAATAATTACCAAAATGTGCCACCTATATATTAAACCACTATTTTTTTCCCCACCATGAATTTGGTTTCAACTCTCTTCACCTTTGACAAGTATAAATGTAAAATGAAGAAATGGAAGATGGACACATTCATTCACGTCTCAACGCACCTGAATAGTAATGCTTGAAGACCCGGCGAGTAACCTGAGTTTTGCTTCAATTCCCGTGCCACAAAGTTGTGTTTTGTTCATATATAGTGATGGTGTAGCATTATGAATTGTATGTATATTTTAGCACTGAAATCGAAGGTTGTTAAGGGAGCAATACATCTTTTACTCTCATCACAAGTTAAAACTTAGGTAAACTAACAGCCGTAGCAATATGCACCTTAGGAGTACTATAAATTTTTACAACTAAAGTGAAAGCTTATTCATGAACAGGAATTTTTTTTTTTTAAAAAAGAAGAATAAATGACTTTCGCTTGTCTCAAGCTAATGCTTTTAGAAAAGTGTAGGAAATTTTATACATACTACACAGTTGTTTACTTTTTCTTGTCCCAAGCTAAAATTATTTTTTCTACTTCAGCAATTTTTATCAGCTTCCATGGTCGTTATTCCTCCAAAAAGAAAGCATAAATTTCTTCCTCTCCTTAGAAGCAACAATTTTCTTGCAAAAATTAAACTATATTCAAAGGTATGTTGAATATTTTTGTTCTTCAAAGTTTCATGTACACATAAAGTCTTGAGCTTGTCTATATAGGTCTTGTGAGTTTTGGACTTCGCTCTATGTAGTATGCAGTTTGTTTAAGGGGTCCAACTTTGTGGGTTTTCGTCATGTTTCTCTTGTTTGTGGCTTTATGCTTTTTGTTCATGTTAAGGATCACATATGTAAGTATAGAGAATATCAAAGGAAAAAAAAAAAAACAAATAAAATCTCAGAACACAATGATTTTACGTGTTTCAACTATATACCCATGTCCATAAGCGAAGAATAGAAATAACTAGAACTAGTATAATTTTGGAGAACTATCAAACCGAGCCCTACTTACATTCAATTCTCATAACACACAATAACTCATAAGAACAAACAATTTTCACTCTATACAAATATGCCAAAGTACATATTTATATAGAATATGTCTTAGTCTTAATGGATAGAGGATCAGTAACAATCTTAATCCTACAAGGTTTAAATGCTAGCCAAAACCAATCATAAGCCCATAAAGATTCCATTTGTAAGTCCTTGTATAATTAGGAATTGAAAACATGCCAAATCACAAAAAATCTCCATCTTAGCTTGAATTCCTTCCATAGCCACAACTTTTCACCCTTCGTATATCTATTGAATTAGATAGTTTAGGTTGAGTTTCATCCAAAAAATTTAAATCTTATAGTGTTTGATTTTTTCTCAACTTTATATATCACTCATCAATTTTTTATTTGTTCAATGTGGGATAAGTTCTCTAACAATTCTCTTCACTTGCACTCTTTTTTTTAGAGTCTGTCTTTATTCAATATAGAATGGGTTGTTTAACACTTTGCCTCACTTTTAGTCTATTCTTTAAGGTAAGTTATGTGGCTTGGACTTTAGAATCTTTGCGGAGCCTTTGAGACTACGATATCATATTGAGTTAGATAATTAAAATTAAGTTTCATCTAAAAGATTTAAACCTTGTGGTAAATAATTCTCTTTATGCTTTATCAAAAGCCATAATTTTTGTTGATTTTTTGCTTTCCTCGGTTGAGTATGTCTTAAGCTTGCAATGTCTTGCAGAATTGAGGCAATATGTCTTAAAAAGGCCTGTTGTAGGCCACAGGGACACGCTTTTCTTTCTACAATGAGACAGAAAATTGATTCTATTACCAAGTACTTATATAATTAGTACCCTAATCTTGCAACGTATCAATTTTAAACCCATAAAGATTCTACTATCAAGTCCTTAATTATATAATTAGAACTATAATATTTCAATATCATCCAAAAACAAAAAAAAAAAACTCTTTATTTATTATAATTTTTTTTTTTAGTAAGAGTCGAGGCTAGATGCCTTATACTTGGTAATTGTAGGCCACATGGCCACTATTTATTTATTTCCAATGATACAACAACTTCAATTTATTGAAATAAAATGAAATAAAATATAGACTCCAAAAGCTAGTCTCCGAGTAAAAAAAAGCCTCTTGTTTTTATGTTGAACAATTTCAAAAAAAAAAAAAAAAAATTGTTAAAAAGATACTCTTTTTTAAGAAAATAACTTCCTTAATTCAATTATAAAAATGATTTTTGCAATTTCCAAGCTCTCAAAATTATATGTTAGAATCAAACAAAATTCATATTTGCTTTACCTCCCATGCATTACTGTATAGCCACACACTAAATTAAATGATCAGATGCTACTCATAAAGAGAAAAAAGTGAAGTTATATCTCTTTTGTCAGAAGTATGCCAAAACTTTAAATGATTGGGCACGCATCAAAGTACTTTTCTTAGACGGAGTTAGCATCTATCATTGTCAAATAAATCATCAATCTTGCAATGTCTTGCAGAATTAAGGCAAGATGTCTTAAAGAGGCCTGTTGTAGGCCCCAGGGACACACTTTTCTTTCTACAATGAGACAGAAAATTAATTTTATTGAAAGAAAAATACAAATTTCATGCAAGCAAATCCCAATCCTTTTTTTTTTTTCATGAAATCCTTTTAGTTTGCATATTTGAACATTCAAATAGAAGATATAACATGTAATTAGATAAGGATCAGCTCAGTTTGCAACTGTTCAGAGTAAAATTATTGGCATCACCTCCCTTTTTGCGAACATCATCCCGATAAAAAAATATCAGTGGCTACGGGAAGCAATACCCAATGCACAAGTTGCCACCCAATCCGTGGACAAATATGCTACCAAACAAAAATTCCGAGCAGGACTTCTTTGCTGTACTTCCGCCGATTACCAATGATGATGATGAGGATTTGGAGAAAGACTTAACAAAACCAACGATCGAAGCTCCCATCTTGTGTCCATAATTCTTTTGCACGTTTAGCCAAGTTGTTGATATCCATCTTGTGTCCTTTTGTTCTCCTTCAACCCAAGGTGCTATCTAAATTTTTCCAAGAACGAAATCAGCTTTAGTAAAGATTCCAAACAAACCAGAAACGAAATTTAACTAAGGCATCAATGAACCGAATACTAGTACTAATCGCAAAAACAGTACTTATTATTTGGAACAACAGATCATTATTACTGCATATTATGGAGCTATATAATTCATAAATATTTTCGACATCTTTCAGACATAGTGGTTTTACTTTCTTCAGGTAATACAACAACCACTAAATTAAAGCATAAACACATTGAAGTTGCTTAGATCTCCTCAAAATTAATTACACCCCAAAAATCATGTGAATTGAAAACCTATGTATGATAATATAGTTCATGACTTTTTTAAGCCAACCTACCACTATAATAGCCAAAAACCATACCTGAAGATTATATGTGCCAGAACAATAGTGAGAACTATGCTGCTTGAGTATAATTTGCAGTCAACTGGGCTATTTTACAATTGGTAGTTCTAGAAAATTTCAGTCATGCATTGGTAACGGTATATCGATACTTTAATCAATTTTGGCACAGTTGCTCAAAACAATACCACAACTAAGTGCAAATATTTGATATTGAACACTTACAAGTTACAAAAGAGAGGAAATGTTGTTCTTTCAGAACAATTTACTTTCTCTCGTCACAAGGCAAAACTTTATGCTTAGCCCGTGATTGTCATGGTCATAATTCCTGTTTTGGAAGCAAATTCTTCGAACGTACAAGCTAATTATTAAATTGACTATGAAAGTGTGAAATTTGTATTCTTCTTTCAATAAAATTAATTTTCTGTTTTCGTTGGAAAAAGAAAAATGTGCCCCTTTGGCCTGGAATTGGCCTTCTTAAGACATCTTGCCTCAAATCTGCATGCCATTGCAAGATTCATGGTTTATTTGTTGCTTGATGAAAGTCTTGCCAATAATCTCTCTGTTTTCATTTTGGGTAAACAGAAGCATAAAGCCACAGACAAGGGTGAAAGCTCACCCAATCAATACAAGAGAAAGAGGAAGGCCAAAAATCGACAAAATTTATGTTCTTTGATAAAGCACAAAGAGAGTAATTCGAAACATGTTTAAAGAGACCACTTTTGCGAATTGCAATCCAGATGTGAATTGCAAGCTTTTTTATTCATATGACATAAATAAATCAGGTAGATATATAGAAATCTGAGTTTGTGTCTTCCGTTCTCTTTTCTCAGAAAAAGAATGTATAAAAAGTAGAGTAGCCACACATATGGTATTGCCTACTCATCAGTCACCTGCACATAAGTTCTGCTGCTTAGCACTCCAAAATGGTGCAAAAGAAGAAAAAGTAGAAGTATTTCTTGACAATGACATATGCTAATTCCGTCTAAGAAAAGTAAATAATAATAACAATAACTTTGATTTGTGCCCAATCATTTAAAGTTTTGGCTTAATTGTGACAAAAGAGATACATTCTCACTTTTTTGTCTCTTTTTTTGAGTAGCGTCTGATCGTTTAATTTAATATGTGGCTATATAGTAATGAATGGGAGGTAAAGCAAATTTAAATTTTGTTTCATTCTAACATATAGTTTTGAAAGCCATTGTGTTTAACTTGTAGAAATTTTTTTAAGAACTTGAAAATTGTAGAAATCTTTTTTTATTAATTGAATTAAGGAAGTTATTTTATTAAAAAATAAGTATTTCCTGAAAAAATTAGTTTTCAAAAGGGATAATTGCACTATAAGTGCATCAATTTTTAACTTTTTTTTTCAATCGAATATATGAATTTTAATTTTTTTTTAATACACTAATTTTTTCAAAACAATCAATCAAGTATTTCAATCAATTCTTTTATTAATTGATGACTTGTCCATTACGTCCAAATATCAAATTACAATTTTGCTCTATTTTTTTCTCAATCAAGCACATAAACTTTAATTTTTTCTATTTGAGTACACCAATTTTTTAAAAGCTATCAATTAAGTACTTCGTTAATTTATTTGTCAACTAATGACGTATCCAAATACTAAATTATCATTTTGTTTTCTATTATAAGGAAATTTTTTCCCAAATTATTCTTCTATTTTAAAATCATAGAATTTAAAAAATATATTATTTTTTAGCTATAAAATCTCGAACAAAACTCAATTACAATTGCCGTTAAAAAAAAAAAACTCGGTTAGGTTTTAGGTGTGAGAATTCAAGGAAACACAAACTTGAGATTTTTCATAAAAAAGATTCATTTATGTTTTTCTTCAATTGTCACTCCTAAATCTAACCGAGTTATATATATATATAGCAAACCTAAATGAGCTTAGTTTTGAGATTTTATAGCTAAAAAAAATGTTTTTTTTTAATTTTTTTTATCAAATTTTGAAATTGTAGAATATTATGGAGAGAAAGTTCACTCTAACACAAAGAGGGTGAAATTATAATTTGGTATTCAAACACATCATCGATTAACAAAAAAAATTGACGAATGTACTTGAATGATAATTTTGAAAAAGTTGGTATATTAAAACAACAAAAATTAAAGTCCATACACTTGATTGATAAAAAATCGACCAAAATTATAATTTGGTACTCTAGAAGTAACAAAAACGTCATCGATTAATGTAAAATTGATAAAAATACTTGAATGAAAGTTTTAAAAAAGTCAAATGTATTAAAAAAATTCATATACTCAATTAAGAATAAATTAAAAATTAGTATATTTATAGTGCAATTATCCCTTTTCAAAATTGTTCGACTTAAAAAACAAAAGGCTTCGTATTTACTTGGAGACTAGCTTCGGAATCTATATTTCATTTCATTTTCAATGTTGTATTCTCTAAAATTTTAATTTTCTTGTCATCTAATGGCTTTGCTCTATCATTGGGAAAAAAAAGGATAGAATTTTAAGCAAGATATTGCAAGAGTGATTGGTTTATCTCTTTATTTTTATATTTATATTTGTACTGTTATGATATGGTATGAATTTTAATCCTTATTATATAAGAATTTGACAATGGAATTCTTATGGACTTCGGATTCTTTTTGGCTAGCATTAGAATTTTTACTAATTCTCTTCTTATTATGACAAGCAATGAGCTATTATATGTTGCAAGGATTAGATGTACTTAGGTTTGGTTTTGAAAATTCTTCATAGTTTTATTGGATCGAAGTGTATTGAGGTACGTCATTACTCATTGAACTTGAGGTTCGAAGACCCACGAGATATTGAAGTGAAATAAGGTTGGTTTAATGCTCTATGATAGAGTTGAGAGGATGAGTTTATATACTACTTCATGGATTATATGGGATAAGTGCCAATTCTGGTGTGTTGTAAGTTAATTGATTGATGAATTGTTTGTCCTATTAATGTTTAAAAAAAGCTTTACATTTGATTTAATTGAAAAATTAATTAATTGAATTTTGTGTGTTATGATTGTTTGGAATCCTAGGTATCCGGTTTAACTCGAATGCATTATTTATTTTATTTTATTTTATTTAAATGCTTATTTATGCTAGTTTGCCTAAAAAATGATGGATTCGGTTATGCTATTTTTATTCATTCTATGTAAATATTTTTAGTTTATTAGACCATTCATTGACATGCCAATCGTGTCGAACTTTAATTGGATTTGATGTTAAATTGACAAGACTCTCAAATTAGGGCTTGACACCAATTTAATATGATAACACAACAAAAATAAAAATAAAAATAAATAATTTGACTTAGACAATAAACAAACTTAGAAATAAACTTAGGGAATAATTTGGTTCTTAGGAGATACATTTAGGATTAAATCAAACATGGTACCTTTCTCCAAAAATGGTGTATTTGGGTGATTGTTATCTTCTCAAAAGTATAATGAACTTATTACCCCCAATCAATGAATCTAGTGTCTTTTTTTTTTTAGGTTTCCTATTTTTCTTTAATAGTAGGTAGCGATTCCAAAATATTTGTTAACTTAAGTCCCCAAGAATAAACAATAAATGCTAATTTTTTTTTTTGAAGTCTCCTAAGTGTCGGGTTATGACCCCATATTACTAGTATCTACTAGTCCTAAACATAACTCAATATAGACTTTAGGGATTGCTAAGTTTACACACCATTTGGAGAATTAAAAAGGAAAATTACATTCTCTAGACAAGTGTATTTGTCTTTTTAAACTACCAATTGGAGTAGCTAAGAAGATCGTGTCTATTCAATGTAGTTTTCTCTAGATTGATAGTGCTCATAAAAAATACATTTGTAAGGTGTTTTTGAATTTCCTAGCCTATTCTAAAAGGGATGGAGGCATTGTCATTGGTTATCTAGTTACCGAGAACAATGCTCTCTTATTTGAGTAGATTTATAGGCTTAGTAGGTGTAGTGGGTTAAATTAGAGAGAATTCATAAGTCAAAAATATAAGCCGGATTTCATAAATGGTCTTCCTATTTTTAGTCACATTATTTCTCCTATTTGGGCAAATATTTGCTTCTTTTTTTTATATGGCTGATAAGTGTGCTATTTTGTGGTTAGAGATGGGATGAGAAAAGCCCTATAGAGTGTTGTTTTGATTGTATCAAGATGTAGATTAATTATCCCAAATATTGGCAAATTATCTTTTGGTCTAAGCCTTATCTAGCTCTTTGAAATGGAATGTTGATGGTTCATCTTTAGGCAAGGTTGAAATTTTTAGTAGTGGAGAAGTTTTAAGAAATCATGAAAGAAATTTCATTTGTACTTTCTCTATTCCAATGGGGGTCAAAAAATCTAATAAGGTTGAAGTTATCGCAATTAAGAATTTTTTAAGATCAATGCTTCTTCTATTTATGCTTATCAAGTGAATTAAATTATTGAATTGGACTCAACTAATGGTATTGCTTGGATGAGTAAGAAAGTTTTTGTTAGGCCTTGGCTTTTGTAGGGAATCTTTAACTTCGTTGGTTATTTGATCAAATCTTTAGGTTTTATTTCATTCAACCATATTCTTCATGAAGAGAAGGTAGCGATAGATTCTGCAACTAGGAGCAATCTTCACAAAGACAATGAACAAGTTCGCTTGGATATAGTTTTTTTTTTCGTTCTAGATCTTTTTGGTGCTTACTTATAAGTCTCAACTCCGTAATCTTGCCAACAACCAACTAGCTACTTTTTTATTAATCTTATCTCAATTTTTATCCAAAAAAAAAAAAATCTATCATATCGTGGACCAACTTATAAAATTATTAAAAGTCTAGTAAAAATGGAGTTTATGATGGATGTTCGTACCCAAATTTTCACCCTTATTATTTTCTTTTTTATTCTTGAAAATACTACAAAAAAGAAGAAGAAAAAGAAAAAGAGATAGGAATTCAATTCAAAATAATTTACTAAAATTAGTTCTAAGGGTATAATTAAAATAAATAAAAATTTTGGAAAAACAAAAACCCAATCGAGGGTGCAATTGAAAAGTCCAAACCCCCAAACCCTTAATTAAAAAAATTAAGAGTATAATTGAAAGAAATCTAAAAGAAGAGGTCCTGATTAATTATAATTTAGGGGTGCCATTAAAGTTCAAACAATCAAAATTGCACTTAAATTGATGAATTAAGAGGAATCGAGTACCAAAAGCGATCTTTGCCCAAAAACCCTAACTCTCACATATAAATACCCATCTTCTCTCTCATTTTAAGGGGTTGGTACTATTCATCATCTTTATTAAAATTTTCTAGCCACCATCTCCCTCTCTAAC